AAAAAAAAAAAAAAGTGGGGGAAGGATCAGTAGAAAAGGGAGTCGTGCAATTTTTTAGAAAGAAAATACAAAGAATAAAATAAGAAGAAAGAATACGCACACCAAAAAAAAAAAAAAAACATCGCGTTAAATAAAATTTACATTATTCTTGTATGGCTGCACTTCGTAGTGTTCTCTCACGACAGCAAGTAAGTGGTTTCTGCGATGTAGGTTCTTCTCTCTTGCAGCCTCCTGCTTGTCTTTCACACAGTGTGTGGGAGGCTGCACTTGATCGTATTGAACAGGCACGCCATGATAAGTCTATTCTTCCTTCCCTTTCCTCTTTATATGTTCAATCCTTCAGCAGAGCTGTGCGGCACTATCATGATCTCTACACGAGATGTGCCCAACTGCTGGTAATGCCGCTCTCCCGCTGGGAACAATGGCGTGAGGGATTGTTCTTCTTTATGAGTGCAGCCAAGGAAAAGGAATCAGAGGAGAAAACTACACTTACTGGACTCTGTACTCAACTGATGCAGTTACAACAGCAGCAGTTTGTAGTGGTTTTTTGGGGATGTTGGTCAAGTGTTGCTCTTCGTCTGGAATCTCTCTTGACACGTCTGCCTTTGCTCTCTGCAAATGAAGAGGAGGAAAAGGAGAAGGAGGTGTTAAACTCTAGCGAGAGTGTATCGTTAGCTCCCTCACATGATGATGATGATGATGAAATGAAAGAGGGTGTAGTTGATAGAAAGATTGTTCGTCTGCGGCGTCGCTACTTTTCTATTTTTTACCAATTTCAGCAGCTTGCTCATGATGCTTCACATTTGTTTGGTAGTTATACAAAAGTTGGAAAAGCTGAACGGCAATGGCTTAGTGAATGCTTGATGTTGGGGAATGACGGTGATAATGATAATGATAATTTTAATGGTTCGGAAGAGGCTGCTGAGGCGTTTATTCGTCGTAGTTTTAAGCGGGATTTTAGTGTACCATCTCTTGATCTCATTACGGGTGAATTAGTTGAGGAATATAATGACTTTGAAGTGAATGAGAGTAAGAAGAAGGCGATGGAAAAGAAAGCACAAGAAACGATTAAAAGTATGTGGTGTACGGAGGCTCGTAAGATGTTTGAGTTGGAGTTGGAGCATTCAGAAGTCTCAATGGAAAAACCAATGCCGGATCTTGCACGGAATGAACTCTTAGATACTCTTCTGCAGTGTTTATGCCGTAAAGTGGGTAAACCGGAATTAGCACTCGCTGTGATCATGCGGGATCTCTTAGAAGACACATTGTTTCCAGCCGTATTGAATATTTCACAACTGGAAAGGGCTCTTACAGTTCTGCTGCAGTGGTTTGAGGCCTACACGGCGGAGCGAAATCATGGTGAGATTCCACTTTTCACAAATGAAGACTTGTGGAGTTTTGTGTTGGAGCGGCACACAGAGTTACTCAAATGGGTGGTATTTCACTACTGTCAAGATGAGGATGGGAAGCGGAATCTCACACTCGCCGTGGAAGGTGTAAAAACGGTGAGTTTCTCTCTGCTGCGCTGTCTAGATGTATACATGACGACAATCGCAGGACGCCGCTCGTTAAAAGACGCTAAAGAAGAAAGAAAAGATGAAGTCAAACAGAAGGTGGTTGTGTGGATACAGCAGACCGCGGTGAATACCTTCCTTGATGGACTTTCTCACCTCAGTTCACAGTCTACATCAACCACCACCACTTCTTGTTCTTCATCTTCTTCGTTTTTGTTAATTACAACTCAAATTACTCTTCTAAAGGCACAACTGCTTCTTCTTGCGGATGCCTCATTACTCGCCATGGATGTACGGCAGCTGCTGTTCCCAACGCTGGATCCTGCATTTAAAGAGATGCAGTTAGTTCGAGAAGCCAAAAGCGAGACCGAACTAATTCCCTGGACACTTTGCATTGTAAGTATACTAAAGTCATTGACTCGCACATTACAGTACACTTCAAAGGGCACGGAATCAGCGGCTGAATTGGTTTCTGCGTTGCACATACACTATAAAACACTACAGGGTCTTTCCCCATCCTCTTTGGTGGATCTTGTTAGTAATGAGTGGGTGGATTTTCTTTCTGCTGAGGGAAGACATTCGCTTGGGAGTCGAAAGGTTACGTTGCTTGACGTTACCCATTCGCGGCGAGTTCTTCTTGATTCTCATGAAAACAGAGAAACAGAGACTGTGGATGTACAACGGAAACGACCACGCGAAGAGTAAATGTGCTGTGATTATTTCTTAATGAGAGTATCACAGCATAGTGGTTGAGCCATTTTGGTACCTTCTTTATATTATTGGAATGAAGATTGAGGTAATAAAACAATATCCTTTGTTGTTGTTGTTGATGTTGATGATTGCGTGTTTTTGTAGACATTACTGTATTCCTGCTCTGCTCCATTTTCATATATATTTCCTTTTTATTTATTTCTCTTTCTTCTGCTATAGTGGTGATGTTTGCTGAAGTTAGCTTCGAGGATGAAGAGGACGCTCTTCAGCAGACTTGCAATGACAATACAGGTAATGGTGTGTCTACATTATTAAGCGGTAAAACCACACCATCTATTCATTCTTCTTCTTATAATAGTAATATTAATAATAATAATAATATTGATACGGCGGCTGTTGGAGTTGTACGTTTTCACCATCCTGGAGATGAGGGCTTTAGTTGTGTGGCTGGCACTGTGGATGATGTGCATTCATTGTACGATACGCGGCATGTGAGTGGAGATGCGTGGCTGAGCAATGAGTGTCATTGTCTGCGGTGTGAGACTCTGCGGGCCTCCACACACATCACAGCCCTGCGTAATCATACCCAACTTCCTATAGTGGTAGTACTGTTGGATCTTGATAACTACGGGTTTAATCAGTTCAAATCCGCCCCTCCCTCGCTTGCCGTGAAGGATGGGTTTAACTGTATAGATCACATGTTTCTCTGGTGTTTTTTTGGCTCATGCTTTACACGCTATCACGGTGTCTTTCCCGATGCGGCGAGTGTATGTGAACAACTGCCGGCCAATGCACAAGATGAAAAGAATGGAAAACCATCAAAACATGTGAAGATGAGTGTTTGGCGGCGGCTTGTAATGGCGGGAAGATGTCACTTCACACCGTGCGGCGGCCAACAACAGGCAGCCGATAGTGTTATGATGCGGGCTGCACACGCCTTAACACACATGCCGTGTATAGTGGTGAGTGGAGATCGAGGACTACTGCAAACGATATATATGAGTCGTTCTTCTGTTGGGAAGAAGAGAAAGCGGGATGAAATGGATTCTGAATTTCTCTCAGAGTGTGATGTGATTAATGTGTTAGAGCATGGGAAGCGGTTTGTGCCAGTGTGGAGAGCACTGGAAAAAAAGATACAAGTACTTGTTCAACAGTAATAGTAACAGTTGTGTTTGCTGACGTTCCCAATAACACGTCATACTTTCAATTTTTTTTTTTTTCGCTATATATATGTGTTTAATTATATGTATTTGTGTGCGTTCATAATTCGAATTAAACTTATGTGCCCTTTAATCTATTTTGATATTATTAGTTTTTTTTTAAATTGTTTCATTTCCATTTTCACATAACATACATACATACATACATACATACATACATACATACATACATACATACAGGCGTACAATATATATTTATACAGAGAGTGAATAAATGAATAAATGAGTGAGTAGGTGACTATAATCTTAACCCTTTTTTTTTCCTTTTCTTATGTGTTTTTATTTAATTTATATTTTTTTTCTTCGTTTCTTTCTGTAATCTGTTTATTTATTATTATATTTTTTTTTTACACTTTTTTGTAAGTTCAGTAAATGTCTTCAGTGATATTGGCAGATGTGGAGAGTAAGATCAATGAAGTGCGGGATCGACTGACAAATCTAAGTATCACTCTTAACTGCAATGAAGCCATCACAACTAAACCAACAACAACAACAACCACAAAAACGCCGGCATCAACTAATAGAGTAAATGGCCCGGATGAAAGATATTCAGCCATATTGACAGAACGCAGTGTGAATGAAAGTCGTGGGCCAAAGAACACTACGTCAATCCCAACAGGAGGACTTGATCGTCTTGTGGAGTTGGCAAAGCGTGAGGCCATACAGAGACAGACCAACAACAATAATATTAACAACAGCAACAACCATATCAATACTAATAACAGCAGCCAAAATATTAACGATAGTATCAGCGGTGATAAAATCACACAATCCGTTAATAACAGAGAATCGCACAACACATCTTGTGTGCAATCCGAAAAGTCCCTCACGGGTCTCGAGGCCCACGCCTATTATGACAGTACACCTGCAGCCCCACAGACACAGTATACACATCACATTATACCAACCGCAATGTCAACCGTAAATGATCCGCCGAGTGGAATGCCGAAGCGTCCAGTGCCGTCGCTGTTGACATCCGCTGAACGTTTCGCGACAATTCATAAAAGTACAACCGCAACTTCATCCGTGTTGACACCCGCAACAAGTGGAACATTTGATCCTTTTCAAGCTGTACAAGCTCGACTGCGAGAGAAACTGAGAAAATCAGCTCTTTACAACAGTACTGGCTCAAGTCCAGTAGACTCCACAAAGTCACCATCCCCAAACTTGGTGCAAGCCTGGCAAAGTGCCCCGTCAGAGACGCAGACAACTCCAGGAAGAAATTCACAGAGTGATATGTCCCCTAATACTACGCAGATATGGAAAGACGAAACTCAAAGACAGAAAGAAGAGGAAAGACAGCAGGAAGAGCAAGAAAAACAGGAAGGAGTGTGCAAACCTGCAGTTTCACGAAGCCCAAGTGTAAAGGCTGCTGCTGCTGCAATTCGCCACGTGAAGGAGAATTTCTCATCAACTGGCATCAATAGAGCCTCACGGTGTTCTTCTTCACGTTCTTCCGCGGTGGTTGAGCCTCGCCAGCATCACCATTATGATCATCATTATCAACAACAACAACAACAACAACAACAACAGCCGTTGAAACCGAGAGTAAGGCAACAGGATCAACAACAGAGGGCAAAGGAGAGAATTCCACAGCGCAGTGCCGCACGACCAGTGCAAATGAATGTACATCCTCGTTCTTCCTCTATTCAGCGAAAAGAGAAAAATATTAATACTCCCTCTCAGCAAACTGAAAGGCAATCCACACCTCGTCGCCCAAGCAGTGCGACTTCTCGACGCTCGAGTTCATCCTTTCGTGCTCAATCGCCCATGCCACTAAAGACCGCACCACAGAGAACTGTTTTGGATGTGTTAACAGGTGCTGAAGTATTTGCACTCTTGCGATTCCGTGGTGTTTTGGTATCTCGCGGTGATACCGGAGAATGTGCGTTGCCGGACACACGATGCCATTCTATGTATTTATCCCCAGAAGAGCACAAACAGCTTGTGGAACTTCGTGCAAGCCTGCGACTTCGCTCTTCCTCTGCTTCCACTGCTGTAAAGACGAGCGAGAGACAACCTTCTTCTGCTAGAGGATCTAGATTTACAACAACAGCGACATTTGATAGGGTGCCAAGTTCGCGACGAACAACGTCATCACGTGGTGGTTTCCCACAATGGTAGTTTAGATCACAATACTGTTTGTGGAATCACAATATATACATATATATAAATATATATAGATGCATTTTCTTTTTTTGTTTTGTTTTCTTTCTTCGAGGCCGTTTTTAGACTTTTCATTAGATTCTCGTGGATTTATTTGCGTTCCTCTTAATGGGGTTTGTCTGATTATGTTTCTCTGTGTGTGTATTCTCAGAATCACCAATGCAAGGAAGTATTTTCTTTTTCATTTATTAATTCACTTTTAATCATAATCTCATGTATTTTTTTTTTTATTTTCTTCTCTTCTCTTAGACACAGTTCATGAAACTCCGCTTAACTAGACTGCTACTGCAGCGGAAGCCCAGTCCGTCTGTTTGCACATTACTGCCGTTGTCTGCCCAGGGAGTCCACACTGCTGTTGGAGAAACTCTTCAGAATGAGTCAAACACCTCCGCCACACATCAACACGTTTGGAAATCAGAAGAAGACACCATTGATGGGATTAATAATAAAGAAAAGAAAAAGACATTGTCGCCTCAATATAAATATTGTAAATCAACAACAGTGCCACAACAACAACAACGAGAAGAAAAAGAGAGAAGAGAGTTCTGTTACTCTTTTGAAATCCCATCATCTGTTTCTAAGATTTCTGAGGAGACTCCCATAAAAACAAGAAAGAAAGAGGATAAATATAAAAAATCCAGCAAAGAAGATGCTTTTGAAGGGGTGGATGTTCCTGCAGAAAAAGAAGAAGTACTTCGATTAGCATTGGATGGGGCTTCACTCTTTATTGGCGGAGATGCGGGAACAGGGAAATCTTTTTTACTGGGTTACATTAGAAAACACCTTGAATCTAAAAACTTACGCGTGGCCGTTACGGCATCTACTGGAATAGCCGCATTAGCAAGTGGTGGAAATACATTTCATGGAACTTTTGGAGTTCCTGTTTTCTCTTGTGATGAAAAAGATTTATCTTCTATTAGCCTATCTTCACTTATTCGATATGATGCAGATTTACTCTCTACGCTAGATGTTATTATCGTAGATGAAGTCTCAATGCTGCATGCAGGATACATTGAAGCCCTTGATCTCGCAGCACGTGCGGCTCCCGGGAGAACACCACAATTGCCATTTGGAGGAATTCAAGTAATACTTTCTGGTGATTTTATGCAGCTTATGCATGGTAATACAGGGAAGAAATCTGCGCGGGAGAGTATTATTTGCTCCGGTGTAGAGAGAAAGGATAAAGATATTCAAACCTCATTGATAACACCACCTAAAGATTCTAATGTATCTAATAATGGTAAGCATTATAAGAATGATACGGATCAAATAGAAAAGATTGGTTTCAATCGTAATGGTAGTAATTATTCAGTAAAGAACCGACGTCGTTTACTGCGATATTACCACACTCGTCCTCTCTTTGAAAGTCCTGTATTTCAAAAATGTTTAATTCATATATGGCTAAATGAGCCCTCACGACATATTGAAGATGTTGATTTTCTTAATGATCTTAGAAAATTACGTCGTGGTATTCTTACATATCGTCTCTCACGTTCTGCTATTTTAAACCCGGCGGATCCAAACGCTATTCATCTCTTTCCCACAAGGCGTGCGGTGAGTGCATTTAACGATGCGAAGATGTTTAAACTAGAAGGAGAGGAACGATGTTTTCGTAGTGAACTTCAGGTCACAAGTTCTACAAACCCAAATGGGAATTCTATCAGCGCAACGAGTAAAAGATCTCGTAAAATGCATTCTGAAATTCTCGTTATTCATTTTCACAGTAAATCCTTTCATTCTGTAAACTGGCGCAGACGAGCAGAAGAGTTTGTTTGCAATTTATCTTCACAGTGTGAACTAAAAGACACTTTTAATTTGATGATTCCTCCTGTTTCTTCCCGACACGCCCGTCACCTCTCAGTATACGTGCGATTTACCGAAGAAGTAAAAGGTGGGGCTGTGAAGGCGATGTTTACACTCCAATCTGCAATTGCCAATCACTTTCAGGGAAACTCAAAGGAGGCTGCTGCTGCACGAAAACTTTGGGGAAATGTTTTTATAGAAGTACGTCAGGGTGACTACATGGAACGTTTTATGCGATCTGCATTGGAACGTCGATATGCCAAGATCATACAAAATGATCATGTACTTCAGCATAAGCGGTTAAAGATTGGTTGTCGAGTGATGCTATTACGTAATCTTAACACGCAATACGTTAATGGATCCCTTGGAACGGTTGTTAGTTTTCAATCTCTTCGTCATGTTCGTCATCTTGTTCCCACCGAACTGAAAGTACTTCTTTCATGGAAGGAGTACACCGTCCTGCGTGAACAAAAACCAAATTCCACTTCTAATGCTTTGGAAAAAACAAATCTTGGAGCAGACGCACTTCTTCTTCTTCCTTCTGAGAATAATAATAATGATATGAGTAAGAATAACGAGAATAACAAGAGTGAATCTAGCGATGTGATCAACGACTATAATGATAGTAATAATAATAATGATGATATTGTTATTCCTGTTGTGAAGATGGACTCGGATGGTAAAGAGGTGGCCATTCCATTTATTTCTGTTCCACTTTTGGAGGGATGGCGTGAAGGTTTTTGTGCTGTTCGTATCACTGTTATGCCAATCACACCAGCCTATGCATACACTGTGCACAAAATCCAGGGATTGACATTTGATCATCCCATTCTCTTTGATGGTAGTGGTTTTTTCCCATGCGATCACCTTATCTATGTTGCGGCCAGTCGTGTACGTCGATTTTCACAATTTCGTATGATTAATGTCTCTCCGCAGATGATATCTGTAAACCGCGACGCCCAACAGTTTGTGTCTAGTGTTCCCTCAGCAGAGAAGGGAGCGGCGCGTTGGAAAAGGTGGAAAAATACAACGAAACAGTTCTCAGAAACAGAGATGTCATCACAGGAGCTTTCACTGTTTCGCGCAACTTGGAAAGTGCATCCAAGTAGTATATCGAAGTCGAAGTAGTTCCTTTTATTTCCTATTCAGAGTTTCCTTCTTTTGATTATTACAATAAATATTTTTTTTTTGAGTTTTTTTTTTTATTGTCCTCTATTATTTTCTCTCTGTCTCTATTTTACTAAATAAATGGGTGTTGGGGAAGGGGTTTGCTTGGGTTTGGGAAATCACAGTATATAAATATATTTGTTTTTCTATTCTAATTGTTTTTGTTTGCAGTATTTGTTTCTCTTTTTTTATGTCTATGTGTTGTTGTTTTTTTTTTTTTTTCTTTTTCTAAAAGAATATGAATATTCTCGGAGGTGACATTACGATATTTTCTTTTAATCTTCTTCTTCAGTTGTTGTAACGAATGTGAATGGCCCGTAATAATGTTATTTCTTCCTTACTCTTCATCTCTTTTATTTCCCTCCTTTACTATGTTTGGTGAGTGATCTGTATTCGTTGAAAAACGGAAATCAAAAAAAGAAAAAAGAAAAAAACAAACAAACGAAAGAAAACAAATAAAAATAATTTATATAAAAAAAGAGACGACAATGACAAACCTAGTAAAGCTGAACTGTGGGGTGCAACACTATGACTGGGGAAAGGCAGCAGCCGATAGTTTTGTTGCCCGGATGAAGCATGAGACCACAAGTGATAAAAAGTTCGCAGAATTGTGGGTTGGGACGCATGTGAATTGCCCTTCACGTTTGTTGTCTGGAGAGTTGTTGTCGGATTTCTTGCGTCAACCCGCAGTGGCCTCACATTTCTTTTCTCCAATACAACAAAAGCAACCAGAGTTTCGGGATACTGTGCCATTTTTACTTAAAATACTTTCCATTCGGACAGCACTTTCTATTCAGGCACATCCTAACAAGAAACTCGCAGAAAAGTTGTTTAGGGAAAACCCAAGTAAATACAAGGATCCAAATCACAAGCCGGAATTAATTGTGGCCCTCACTCACTTTGAAGCCCTTTGCTGCTTTCGTCCACTAAAGGATATTCTTAACATGCTGCAGGCTGTACCATCATTAACTACATTGTTGAGTGTATCCATCGCAAATGTGAAAAACATGAGTGAAAAGGAGGCTATAAAAAGTTTGATGACGCACATGTACACTCTTGATGCGGAGGAACACACGAAAGCATTACGAGAACATGCGGCAGCTGTATCAAAGAAAGGTAAATCCGCCTCTACAGAAGATTTGATTTTTCTCCGCCTCATGTCTCAATACCCTGATGATATTGGTTGTTGGATGATTTACTTTCTCAACTATGTGCAGATGGAACCTGGTGAGGGTTTATTTCTCTCCGATAGTGAACCACATGCCTATCTCTTTGGTGATGGTGTAGAAATCATGGCAAGCAGTGATAATGTTGTGCGTGCTGGTCTTACGCCAAAGTGGAAGGATGTCCCAACGTTATTATCTATGCTGAAATATAGTACGAATGGACTCGAACAGGCATTTTACTCACGTTATCAGAATCCTGACAAGGAAGGATGGGAAGTACAACAGTACTGTCCACCACAAGAATTTCCTGAATTCTCTCTTTATCGTATTGAATATTCCGGTCAATCCAAGGGAGAAACATGTATCTCAATACCAACCATTGGTTTGGGATTCTGTTTGGCTGGTGAATGTGTTGTGAATGGAACTCCCGTTGTAGAAGGAGATTGCTTTGCAGTTCCCTACGGATCCGTAACGTGCAGTGCGAATGGACATTGTTTGCTGTTTATAGCATCCATGAATAATATTTTTGATAAAATTTCGAAAGTGTGAGCTTTATGGGGGATTTTTACTTACTTAGGGGGGAGGAATAATAATAATAATAACAACAAAAGACGAAGGGATAAAAATCTAGAGAAAAAAATAAAACTTATACTTCTGCGTGTTTAATGAAGCATCTCTGTATGTGTTTATTTTTTTTCGTAGAGTGTAAGAAGGGGGAATCTGTGAGAGGGTGTGCGCTGTGTTACCCGCTGTTCGACTGTTTTCTTTGGGTATGCTTTTATTTCCGTTACCATTTCTCACTTCTCTCTGTACGTATATATGTATATACATATGTATATATATATATATACATTTGGTATATTTTTATTCCTTTTTTTATTTTTTTCTTTTTATCCCACTATTTGGAGTATTATGGATTATTATTTTTTTTTCTCTTCTTCATCAGGTGAGTTGATTACGATATATTGCTCCTTTGTAAAAATGTCTTGCATTGCTACCTTCTCTACTTCATAAATACACTCTCCCACTCCCCCACAATAAAAGGGAAATATCGTCCAACGTCTCTGAGGCCTATTGGATTGTCAATGGCATCTCTCTCTAGCCAATCAAAGGAGATGCGAGAACGGCACCGGCGCATCCTCTCTGAGTTGTTGCGGCAGCAGCAAAATCAGGAGTGTATGGACTGCCGTGCACGCAATCCAACGTGGGCGAGTACCAATTTAGGCATATTCATCTGTTTGCGTTGCAGTGGTCTGCACCGACAGCTGGGCGTGCACGTGAGTAAAGTGAAAAGCTGTACAATGGATATTTGGGAACCAGCACAGATTGCGTTTATGCAGGAGATGGGTAATGGGAAGGCAAAGTTGTTGTGGGAGGGAACACTTCCCCCAGACTATGGTAAACCAAACGAGAAGGAGGATGAAGAATTGGTGCTCAAGTGGATTCGTGCAAAGTATGAGAAGAAACAATTCTACAAACCACCTTCTATGGTAACACCGATGTGCGCATCTCGTGTCACTACTGGTTCTACGGATATGCTAAGTGGTTTAGCATTAAAATCTCGACGACCAAAGAATAAAGACGAGACAGTTTCTCCTTCTCAGGCGAGTGAAGTAGTTCCATTGCAAAAATTCAGTGATGAAGTCTCAATAGGTGTAGGTAAGCGCTCACCCAATGTCTCAGAATTAATGGTGTTTGATAAAGTAAATGCGCAATCAATGGGTCAGGGGTTTTCTTCTGGGGTTCAGTTTCTATCTCTATCGACACCTCCTTCGGCTCAGGAAGGAGATAGTGCCTTTGATTTTATTGTAAATTCAACAAGAGATACAGATATCTGCAAAAGTGAATTACCCGTGAACCCCTTCACTTCTTCTTTTAGTCATACATATGGGGTAAGCGATGCCCCAAGTAAATCGCATAGTAGTAACGCCTCAAATAATATGTTGGATGAACTCTTTTCTCTGAACAGTGTTGCACCCATGCGAGAATGTCCTCTCAGTGCTCAGGATCCCTCTTTACCTCCATGCATTCCGACACAATCAAATGGGTCCACGGTTGGGGCAATGTTTGATCCCTTTGCAAGGACCTTCGTTAGTGAGGCTCAGTCAAGTAAAACAGCAGGGTTAGTTTCAGAGGAAACTTCTCAATCATTTCATGAGAAGCAGTTGCAATTACAGGAACAGTTGGAAAATCTACAAAAACAAGTTGCTTTCATGGTGCATGGAGGTGCACACCCATACTATGGATGTTAGAATATATCCATTATTACCAATACATATATATTTAATTTTTGCTTTTGAGTCCTTTATTTTTTTCGAGTTCTACCATAACAAGAAAGAAAAGGTTGAAAGTTTTTTGGTGTATTGGATCAGCAGTACTATTCTTCTTTTGTTGATTTTATTTTATTTTATGATTGGAGTCGATTGTTTTTTTTTTTTTTTTTTTTTTTTATAATGATTTTGTTTTTGCTTCTACTCTCTTAATTAACGGTATCTGCTAGTAAAGTAAACACCAAAAGAAGTATACTGTGTCTCCTGTTTTCCAGGTGATTCGTCATGAGCGGTTCAACTGAGACAGCCCCACCGGTTCCGGAAAGAACTAAAAGGGAAACGGAAGATCAGGGAAACCAGCCAGTGCTGGAGAGAAAACCGTCCGGGAAAAAGGGTATAAGTAAAATATCGCCTTTTCTTCAAACGCAACAGGATTTACAAAGGGAAATGCGATGTGATTATGTGCTCTTTTGGTATGAGCGGGACCCCAAGACCCCACCAGGACAGTGTCCTAACTTTCTGCGCGTGGGTGATCCTATTCGAGTTTCTTTATCACATCATGTCTTTATGCAAATGGCATTTGGAGTGTTGAAGGACCGTTTGATGAAGAATCCAACACGAAAAAAGGCAAAGGATAACACAGATACCACTAATAGGTACTCCAATAATTCTGATAATCCTCTTGGTTTACCAAAAGAAGGGAAGAAAAATGGTCCAAGTTCACGTGAACAGGACACTGTGGCATTATTTTGCTTTCTATGGCAATATGTGTCAAGTATGCTTAAATCACAAGCTGAGGCAATGCGGCTTGTCGCTGCACAGAGTAAAAAGAATACAGTATTACGTCCTACAGTTCAAATGACGAAGCAACAATTACGTCTTCAAATACTTTTGGAGTATGGAATTGATGTGCGACAAGTTCTCGGCGATGGACTTCCAACGACAGGGGCCGTAAGTGATGAGTACTTTGAGCAGCTAATGACGGGAAGTGTGGCGGAAGAAGAGTTTTACAATCAATTGGCCAAACCTTCAGGTATGGCACAGGATTGCTGTATCATGTGAGATGTGCCGTATATATTCACACTCATATTCATATTCAACATTATTTTTCCTGCTGTTTAATTTATTTCTCTCTTTTTTTTTTTTTTTTTGGAAGCTTTCTTTTCTCTTTTTTAGTCTTTTTTTTTCGTTTTATTTCTATTTTTATCTTGAGTAGTATTGAGTATAATTGCAGAACCGTGTGTTTTCCACGTGTTTTTTTTTCTCTTTTTTTTCCAGCACAATCTCTTCTAGTACGGTTTTTTTTTCTTTCTGTTTGTTCAGTGGGGTAACGGATTATGAATGTTAATAGTGTTTTGCGGGGGATGGGATGACAAAGAAAAAAAATAAAAATATTGTGATGAAATGAGAAAAGTTGCTTTAATATGAGTGGTTTGAAATGTGGAAGTTCCTTTTGGGGGTTTTCTAGCTCTTCTTTCTCTTTTTTGTTTTTTTCTTGGATGGAAAGAGCTACTATGGACTTTTATTGTGCGTTTTCCACTCGTTTATTACATGTTTCTTGCAAATTCTTTTTTTTTTTTTTTGTTTTTTGTTTTTTTTGCGAGGGAATAAAATGAAAGTGAGCTGTGTGTATTTTTCTATACTCCACTCTTCTGAACTGTGATCTCCACAGGGGTGTTTACCTGTGTGGGAATCAACAGAATATATTTGCTGGCTCACGTTTTTTTTTTGTCATTGTTTTTCTTTTTTCTTCTCTACTATGGATGCTGATATTAATTATTGAATAATGTTACTTACATCTTCGTGAGATTTTGCTGATTATTTCCTTTCTTGCTCTTCTCCCATAATAACCTCCAGCACTATAATTTCTCATACTGGTATCAATATAAAAGGAGTATTAACATTTCTAAATGCCACGATTACCCTCAAGCCAACAAACACAACGACCACGGCAGCGACAACAACGCGCTTCGCAGGTGCCAGTGGCGGGACGTCGTTCTTCACGGACTTCAACAAACACCGCCGCTGCTGCGACGGCCGCATCTTCTTCTCGCGCTGCGGTTGCCGCTGTGTATTGGCAGCTTGTTGGCACTTCTGCGCCTCTTTACTACGGCCCGCTTGGTGACACTGTTGGAGAAGTGCAGCAGGGGACTGTTATTCGTGAGCTGCACCGCTGCAGAGATCCCTTCGGCAGCTGTTGGATATCATCACTATCGTCTGATGGTGATATTGTGTGGATACGTCTCTCTAATGAACAAGTGGAGGAAGGAAAGAGTCCTGACACGGTATGGCAAAGAGTGTATGATGAACGATCTGTACAGGATGAAGGGATACAAAATAGAAGTATGGAGGATGAAGGAGTTTTCCATCGTACACGCATTTCTGCAGCGACAAATACGAAAAAACTTCCATCATTGGATTTAATGACCCATGATATTCAGATTTTGGAAGATTGTTGGAAAGATATAACTGCCAAGAAGACTATGGGTCGTGATTGGAACGCTGAATATCAGGGACTCGTAGATTTGGTTCTTTTTGGTGAATGGGAGAAAAGTGTTTCCGCTACGAAACAGTTATCTGAGTTTATGTCTGATTTTTCAAAAGCAGCGGAAGATGTGGCACTTGTTGTTCTCGCGGATATGCTCCGCCCTGCCTCTGAACGAGTGGCAAAGAGTGTCCAACAGGGTACAATGGGAACCTTTCTCCATCATAATCTTCTTGTAAAGTGTGTGATTAATGACGGTAGTGGAAACTTTAAGAGCGATGCACACGCATGGAGTCTGGCATCACAGTACATGAAAGGGCAACAACTTCTTGCGATGGAAGGACCTAAGCGTTTGCTTTATACTGTACCAACTACTCTTGTTACTTTTACAGGGTTTCGTTTTCTTGTTTCAGCTGTTCCTCCTATTATGGCGAAGAATTTGGTTTATTTACCCTTGCAGGAACGAAGTCAGGGGTTTCAAGTTTCAGAGGCTGTCAAGACACAAGTAATGGATCTGGCTCTAGCTATTGGTTTAAAGCCACATAAAGTAAAGAGAAGTACAGGAGATGAGATGACAATTACACTTCCTGTAGATATGGCTATTGTGGCAGGTCAAGATAGGAGATTATATGTGATCAGCAATTCATCCTTACTACCACCCATTGCTACTATTGGAGGTGTAATAAATGGAAATAATGAAACAGGAGATTTACGTTTTCGACCAGAGTTTCTACTATCATGGCGTAAACCTTTAAACTGTGATGCTTTCATAGAAGAAGCATCATCATCTGAAGATAATGCTGAAGTTATTGAAGCTACAGAATACTTGCGAGATGAACTGATTCCAGCTATTGCTTCAATGATTGGTTTTCATTCCCCTATTGATCTCCCCCGACAAGATGTAGATAATTGTACCTTGTGCTCTCGAACAATGGAAAATGAATTACGGTTTGTTGTCTGTCATAATGTTGAAAAGTGCTGTCGTATTTGTTCTCATTGTTATACGAAACGTTTGTCTGAGATTGAAGGGAAAGATGAAATAAAGAAACAACATCCTAATATAGATCTTTTTCGGGATGCTGTGAAGTGTGAATCAACACCACGTGGTTCAAAAGGTCTATTGCTTGAACCATCTTTGACCTCAATATTTCATGCGAATGGACTTAATATGCGATTCTTACCATTTGTTTATCATCGTATCCCACATGTGGCTCGTTCTGCTGTTGCCCATTATTGTGAAATTGAAATGATTGCACGTGCTGCAGTCTCTCTCCTTAGAGAAAAACTCCGCCGCAGTGCACAAACTATAGAAGAGGTGAAAACTATTTGTCATGATTTTCTCATGGGATTACTTCAATCTTCTGGAAGTGTACCAGAGCGTTTCTGGGCACGAGAGTTAGGCCCAATGATGGAAACTCTATACGGACTGCGAGGACCCTTTAACACGGCTGAGATGGATATTGAACTTCTCTATCATCGCATCTCTCAACTCTCTGGTATTCGTCTTGAGGAGGGGAGTGCCGCATCATTTTTCGCTGAGAGGCCGTATCTACAACTGGCCGCAGTGGATACAATAGTGAAGACAGTGCAACCACCATATATAGCAGATGCGGATGCACATGGAAAAACACGAGGTTTATTAATGCAGCGTTTGGAGCAAATACTGTTATTCTGGATTGGATGTTCAACAAGTGCAGATGATACTGGTAAAAATACACCAGTGCAACCCTTTTACATGACCGAACGCGATAGTTGGATGTGAGATGCATAGACTTCTCTCTATCTATCTAATCTAATCTATTTATTTATGTGTATATATATATATATATATGTTTAGATGCTCAAATGTCAGCGTTATTATTTCATTTGACTGGAAAATACAACTACATGTATATTTCTATTTTGTAGAAGAACGATGTTTTTGAACGTTATTGCTCTTTTTTTTCTTTTATTGCCTAACTAACTTGAATTATTTCTACAATTTCTTTATTTTCTGTTTCGTTGAACTCTTTTGTTCATGTAGCAAAATTGACCAATAATATTATTGAACAGTTTTATTTATTTTATTTCTTTTTTCTTTTTATTTAAAAAGAAAATAGAATATACCAAAAAAAAAAAGAAAAAGAAAAAAAAATATTATAACAAGTTATAAACACAAAAGAGCAGAAATAATGGAATCGTCTTTTCAAGATGTAACCAACGTGGTACCAACGAAGCGTCGCATTCCTTCACAGCATATTATGCAGATGTCAGAGGGAACAAATGTTGCCATGATGGAAGAGTTATCTGAAAAGGTGGATCATCTCTCAGAGAAGATTGATGCCATGTATGAAATGTTATTGTCCTTAATGTCCCAACATCAACAACAACAACAAGTATCTACAATGCCAGCGGCTTCTCCAGTGATGACACAACTTCAATCTCGGGAGTTGGATCCACCTACGCCTGTGAAAGAAGAGCGACATGTCGCTTCCTTTATCAACAATCCCACTCAACAACACCAAGACACTGTGCCATCCTGTGCAGTTCTAGAGGATTTTCAGCCGCCTGCGATAACGGGTACACTAGCTACCGTACCTGCCGCGAATACAATCACAACAACAACAATGAATAAGGATGCGGAGTTTAAGAACTATAATCAGAAGAAGTCCCCAGTGAATGGAATGACATCCACACCAGGTCGTGTTGCTGATCTGAATAACTGGGCAAAGCGTGACTGTTTTATTTTGATTGTGGAATTTAAATGCCAACGCGTGAAACGATGTGAAAGTAGTGTCTTTATTACGCCTGGACAGTACGCTATTGTGCAGGGTGATCGAGGACATGATTGCGGTGTGGTGAATCAGTGCAGTGAGTGGAGTGTGGAGAAGGGCTGTTTTGTGCGTGAGGAGAGTTTTGACGGCAATTTGGTGAACGTGAGTCGTATGAAAGGTGAACTCGGCCGTGTTCTCCGGGTGGCGACGGAGGAAGAAGTGGAGCGACTCTTCGGTGAAATTGCCCGCAATGAGAATCTTGCGCTGCGAACATGTCGAGAGATTGTGGCCCGACTTGGACTGGACATGGATGTGGTGGACTGTGAATATCAGTTTGATCAACAGAAGATCAGTTTTTATTACGAAGCCTCACGATCAATTGACTTTCGTCATCTCAACAGTGAATTGTACCGCATATTTGGGGTTCGTATTTGGCTGCAGAATGTGAATAATGCGGTGAAGAATGTTGTGCCCGCTGGTGCCATGTCTCGTGATGATAAAGTACAGTACCAGAAGAGTGGTCTGCGTCCACCAACCTTTAGATAGATACAATTTATAGTTACTATCATTTGTCTATTTCTGCGTCTCTTTAATGTGGGTACTTTTTTCTTTTTTTTTTTTTGATAATCTTTTTTTCCGAAGCATATAGATGGATGGTGTGAGCCTGTGGTCTCCATCCTTTTTTCTGCCATCGTCATAGAGGCACACTAACAACCGTTGTTTTTTTTTTTTTTTTGGTTTTGTTCATAGTAGCGGGGATTATTATTATTATTATTTTACTACTGTTTTTGTGCAGTGGATCAAGAATTGTTACCCCTCCTCCATTTTTCTCTCTCTATTGACAGAATAGACATGCCGTCTTGCACGCATGCCAATTATAGAAAACATAGAATTTCTTTTTTTTTTTCTTATTTCCTTTTTTTTTGTTCTTATCTTTTTGTATTGCCTCATTTTTTCTTCTTTGGTATGCCTTTTTCCCTTTTATAGAATGCATAATAATATCACGTGGGGTATTATTTAATTGGGGTGTGAGAAGGTTAGATCCTTCATTCAGGATGGTATTCATTAAAGGAAACTGAAGTTCCAGTGCAGAGCGATAAGAAAAAAAAAAAAAAACAGTATTTTGAGTGAATATCTGGTTAATTAATGTTTGGAATGGGGGAACCAAATAAGCAGAAACTCAATTTTTTTTTTAATGTTATTTCTTCTTTGAAAGAATGCAAAGAAAGAATAGCAATATATATCTCTCTCTTTGTTTTTGTCCTTGTTGTTTGATTTGTGTTGAAAGATTGCATTTCTTGTGAACACTCTGCTGCAAGGAGAGAAAAGACGATGTGTATCACTGCGAGAAGAATGAAGGAAAAAAGAAAAAGAAGAAAAAAAGGGATCTGTACTACGATGTAATATATCAAAACTCGCATTATTGTATAGACGGATGAAATTGTGTCTTTTGTTGCTGTGATCCTTTTTTTTTCCCTCTTTTCCTTTAAGTTTATATATATATATATATATATATATATATATATTTATTTATTTATTTATTTATTTATTTATTTATTTATTTATTTATTTATTTTTTCCGTTATTAGAGATCTTTCAAAGATAGACAATGCAGTATCGCATGTTTTTCCGGCGACCTAAGAATAAAAAATATATCTTCAAATATGTGGTTCTGGCGTTTCTCACGCTGTTAGTTCTTTTTCTCATCTTAACTCTTCTCACGACGGACCGTTCTGTCTCAGTGGCTGTCGTTTCTCCTTTAAAGCCATGGGGCTACAATAAGGAAAGAAACGTTCAGCGGATATCTGCCGTACGAAACAGTATATATGAAGATATTTACAAGGGTATTTTGTTACCAACGAAGACTTTTACAGTTGTGGACTATGGATCTGATCAGGGATACTTCTCTATTAATTTAGCTGTGATGTTTCCAAATGCACATGTGATGTCCGTAGAATTGGGAGGTGTTGGTGGGGAAATATGGAAGAAACGCGGGGATGTACTTGTATTGCAGGATAAACTGATTAACGAACACGATGTTGGGAAACGGGTACAAATCTGTCAAACAATGATAGTTCCTAATCACTTTACACTATTAAATAATGCCGGTTTAGGTGTGGATTATCAACTTGTGCTTAGTGTTTTTCACTGGTTTGATCTAAAAGATAAAGTGTCATTTCAAAAGGTATTGGTCTCTTTGCTCCAGAATGCCAATATCGCCACCTTTATTGAACTTCCAGTACTCGGCGATGACTCTGCGATGATTAGAAAACAAGTGGGATATCAAAATTTCAAGAAATGGTACGAAGGCACAGGTGGAAATATCGGAAAAGTTATTGAGGAAGCACTATTGACTCACAATCTCACTGCACGTATTGTTTCTATAGCAAAGGTACCATGGATTAATTGGTACCGCGAGCTCTATCGTGTGGAGCTGCTTGATGTTAATAGCAGAAAAAATCTCCCATTTAACTGTGAGAAGAGGCGTGAAATATATGGATGTAAAAAACGTACCGTACATGATAAATGTACCACATAGTAGTTGTACATTATTGCTATCGTAATTGTTAATATTGCTCTTTTTTTTTTTTTTTTTTTTTTTTACTGTTTTTATCTTTTCTTATTTCTTCTTTGCTTGCTTGCTTTTTTATTGAACTTTTTGCTCACATTTCCATCTCTGTGGTTTATTAGGGGAGGGGAAGAAAAAGAACATAAAATTCAACCGTTTTTTTTTTTTTTTATCGTGATTTCTGTGCTCTATTCATCTCTTATTATTATTCTTTTGATTGATTTTTTTTTCTTTTAATCTTATCTCTGTGCCATCTAATATATGCTCTTTCTATCTATTTTTATGTTTTTGTTTTATATATATACTGTTGCGACACCACCTATGGAGTACATACCTCTTTCACATTTCAAGAGAAAGGAAGTTCTTCCTTCTACACTCTAGTCATTATTACATTGAAATTGGCGTTTAAAAGATTCCAGAAGAAGATGGGACTTTCACGTCCCTCAACGGAGACTTCCACTGCGGGAGTCCCTAAAGGTAAAATAATTGTGCTGCTTTCTTTTGTTGTGATTTACTTTCTCTTGTCTTCTTCTGTTGGGAATTGGCCGTTACCGAAACCAGTGAAACCCACAGCTCCTGAGACTCCTGATTTTTCAATGAGTAATGATGGTATGAATGAGATCAATTTACGTAAAAGTTTACAACGCATGGAAGCTATTTCTTCCAATACACCTATTCCTTTTTTAACTCCATGGGGTAGTGATCGTCTGGCGGCGTATCGAGAATGGACACATATATATCGTTCTATTCGAGAAGATATTCATATTAACAAAGGTGTGAAAACTTCAAGGGATGTAGAAGATGGAAATAGTAAACCTTCATTAGAAAAAAAGCTAATACAAATGCTAGTATATGATGTTAATGAAGGATACTTTTCATTATCACTTGCAAGGTTTGTACCAGAGATGTCTGTAACTGCTGTTTTTCTTGATAAATGTACTCAGTCTCCCAAAAAGTCTCCTGTTTGCAATTCTTCTCTCCATAATATCGAGGAAATTGAAAAACAATGGAATAAACTACATAAACCAGATGATACTTCTGCTGCGAAGAGACTTTTTCTTTGTCTGTCATCACAAATCACACCCATTCGATTGGGAGTAATGGGTGGCCGTCATACTCTTACGGATTATCAAATTGCTCTTTCTTTATTTGATCATTTTGAAAGTATTCCAACGAAAGTGGCATTTCAGCGCGCACTAATATCTCTTATTAAGAGTGCATCTGTAGCTACTTTTATTACTCTTCCAGATTTTCGTTATACGTTCTCCACTACCCGATCAAAGAAAGGAAATCGCAGCCCTCAATGGTATGAGTCTGCGCAGGATGCAGAATCTTTAATTAAAGAGGCTGCAGATGCCTTTGCTGTGTCAATATCTCTCTCTCAATTGGCTTCAATACGGAGGGGTTCTGCAAACCGAACAGTGTTTCGTGTGGAAGTCATTCGGGATAAAGAAAAAAGAGTGGATGAAACGGCACAGTGTGAGGCTCGTCGGGCATTCTTGCGTTGCAGCTCTAAAACTCCGTTTTTAAGGTGTCCTTCATGAGGCGGTCTACCATACAGAATACATTTTGCGTATATGTCTTTTTTTTTCTTTATATATATATATATATGTACTCCTTTTTTTTTCTTTAGGATTAACTTTTTTTATTTTTATCCACGGTTAATCTTCGAAAGGAAACAAGTGGAACGCAAGTATGTACGTATATATATATATTTGTATTGGTTTTCTGCGTCTATTGGCTTGTACTTATTTTCTTATTGTCTTTTTTTTTTTATTTCTTTTCTTTTCTTATGTTTTCTAGTTTTCTTTACTCTTTGTGGTAGTTGTGTGGGTGTGTGTTTTGACATGGCACAACATCCTGACAAGATAAAATGGAAAGAACACATGTCGCACGGGTTATCCGCATCTCAATTTGGAATGGCTCTCGGTTTGTGTGGTCGAGTTGTTGACTTTGTAGACTATCTACGCAATATCGTTGGAACAGAATTGGAATTCACTGGCAATGCCAGTACTTCCCACGGTATTGTAACAGAAGCAAAATCACGTTCCTTGTATGAGTTATTAACAGGTAATGCTGTTAGCGACGGTGGTTTCTTCTTAACGGATGATGGTTTGCTTGGCTGCTCTCCAGATGGACGTATGTTTTACCGTACAAATTCTCAAAACGGTGATTCCCAACCTCAAGTGAAGGGAAACATTAGTACTATAGAAGTAGATACAAGAGAAAAAGCTGTACCTACTGTTAAGATACCCTTTCGATCCAAATGGCAACCTCAAGTTCATTCCACATCTTCTTTAGAATCTTCTTCTTCATCTTCTCCTATGCAAGAGAAGTGTCGTTTATTAGAAATTAAATCCCCTTTTCACTCCTTGTATGATGGTTCAAAGCCAGCGTATCAACCGTTTGGTATTCCCCAGCAGTATCTTTGCCAGATGCAAGGACAAATGGCCATTGCTGGTGTAGACGAGTGTGACTTCTTTGTCTATTTAGATAAGCCGGCCTGTCAAGTAGTGGCCTGGCGTGTTTATCGCAGTCAAGAGTTCTGGGAATGGGCAGGTCCGAAATTACGACAAGTTTCGCAGTGGGTGCGTGATGGTCCTCCATCGTGGTTAAACCGTAGTTTTGAGTTTGACGCCTTTGATTTCTCAAAACTTGTGGTGGAGCCTCTTATTTTTCCATATGATATCACAGAGAATGCACCTATTCGTGATCCTCGTCGATTTCCTTTTTTTGAGCGCCATCCTAATCCATATGAGAGTACGACATCATTATTATTAAAGGATGATCAAGAGGCTTTATTGCGAAGTCTTATGAATCCAGTAACACGTTTTTTATTTTATAGTGAGACCGATTCACAAACAGAAGATGGAATGCAAAAAGAGGAATGTGTACTGTGGTGTAGATCAGAGAAACCTATTCCTGAATCTGCAACGGTTGGTATTTCTTGGAATTCCCTTAATGTGGAAAAGAATTCTACCAATGATATTGCAAATTGGAATATGAAAGTAGCGGTAAAAAAACCACTTGATTTTAATAATGGTATAGTGATATGTACTGTACATAATAGACAGGTTAAGTTTAACGAGAATAATGATAATTCTATCAGTGTACGTTATTTTGAGCGTTTGTTTTTTACTTCTTTACTGCCTTTAACAACCCAATCACCGGCACTTGAAGCTGTTGCCCCTTCTACGGTGATGGATCCTTTGAATGATGGTTGTGATGACCCCTCCTCTAGGCCGGAAACTGTTAATGAATGTAGTCAAAGATCTTTTTATTTCATTAACGAAACTAAACGTTTTGATAAACGACGAAGGTCTTGTTCAATCTCTGATGACTCTGTTATTATTATTGAGAATGAATCAACATCTCGTCGATCAGTTTCCATAGAGGTTTGTACGTTGTCACAATAAACCATGTTCTAACGTCGATAAAATATAATAGAGCGGTATAAAATATGCTTTAGATCTAAGGTTTATTCACATGCCCTTGGTTGTATAAATATAACGCAATGTTCCTTCAATAAAGTTTTTTATTGGTTGATTTATACTCTTAATCTTTCTGCCAAGAACAGAATACTAAATGATAATCTTCCTATGGCTCTTCACCTCCCCTGATAGTAAGGGGGAGTACTAGACCCTGGCCCCAAAATTGGGTGGACGGCGTTTACCAGTTACATATACATAATAACAGTAGAAATACATTTTCTTTATTATTACTATTTTATTATTTATTTTGTGTGAATTTTTTGTACCTATACGCAAAGGTATGTATTAATAGTTCTTTTTTTTCTCTCTTTTTCTGGTTTTTTTTTTTTTTTTTTTTTTTTTTTTTTTTTTTTTTTTAGAGTGTGACTCTTTCTTGTCTTTGTTAACGAAAAAGAAGAAGAGTGAACACAAGGTAAAGCATGGGGAAACGAACAAATAGCGTTACTGTAAGCATAAGCACGCGGACAAGCGTCACACAGTACGGAAGCAGTTGCTTTAGTGAAGTGGCTTTGCCCATCTGTAACACAAAACAAGAAAAGATCCCTCGTCTTTATCCTGTGTTTGCTATTGATACAGATGACGGCTGTAATGTTTTGAGAAAATGTCCCTCATCTACAGACACTCCTTCGAAAACACCTGTATTCACAACTACTACGGCTTCTAAGAATGTTACGCCTGTTAAATTAGATAAAAATCTTAAAACTATTTGCAAGGCTGCAGTACACTCAGATGTTCAGGAATTTGTGGTGAAGTGGAAAGGTTTAACCCCTAAACAGATAGATGGGAATTTGATCCCTTTTAAAATTCACTACCAGTTGCAACTAGTGGTATTAGAGGAACGTAGAAATCGACGCATGGTGGCAAATGAAGAATTCACGGGTCGTTTAGAACTGTACATAAAGTGCCGGTATACTTCACCTCTTCGTGAGAAATTACTTAACTGTGGGGAATTGAATGCAATTTCTGATCGAATGCATGCCATGTATTTCCGTAAACGTCATTCTCCCAGTGTGACGTCCATGTCTTTAACTCGTTTTCAGAGTTTAAAGGATGACCCTCTTCATACACCTTCCACTTGTTTTCCTTCAAACGATTTGACCCCATGGACTGGAGATTCTCAAATAACGTATACCTTAAAGAGTGATAATGAATCACCTTCTAGAACATTTGTACCTTTGATGGGAACCATTAAACATGAAAGGCCTCATAAAGAGACAAACGATGACCTGTTGGACGATAGCAAAACAGAAGACGAAAGCAAAGGAACCTCCTTGAATGATACTCCTGGTAAGGAAACAGTAATGACGGTTACCCGTTGCTTAAATACATCTGGAATAACAGGTCAGAGTCCAGTTTCTGATACTTCAGCAAATAAAAAAGAATGTGATACCGATAGTCTTGCACGTTCGCTCATGGGAAGCTCAATAGGTAGTGATGATGACTCATTAGCGAACCCACTCACTATAGAGATGCCCGTTGTTGATGATGGTGATGATTCACTGAGTCGTTCTCTACTAAATGAAACAACAGCTGGTTTTTTAACACCTATTGAAGATATTGATGATGATGAGAAAGAGAAAGAAACAGAGAAAGAGAAATAACTGACTTTGAAACCCACAATTTCGTCCTAATATGTGGAATTTATCGTTACCACGTCGATGTTGTTTTCCGTACTTAAATTTAGATCACTATAACGAAAAATTCGTTTTTTTTTTGGCCTATACTTTTTTTTTATTTACCTATTCACTATTTTATGAATTATGGTTATTTTATTTTATTTTTTTCTTTCTAAAAATAATAATAAGAAAAAAACCTCAAATCTTGCCAAAATATTCACTAATCTTGTATACCTCCCCTTTTTATGTATTTTATTTATTTAATATGTATTCTTTATTTTGGTTAATATAGGTATATTTCTTTATTTTTCTTTGTAGTAACAATGCAAGGTGATGGACGTTCTCCTCAGGGTAATCAATCCCTTTTTGAACAAATGTATCGCCAACAACAGATGAATGCCTATGGTGATCAGAATCATTACGCACAGCAACAGCAACAGCAGCAGCAGCAACCTCTTTATATTCAACAACAACAGCCGCAGGTTCAACAAGCCTATCCACAGCAACAAATGAATACATATAATGCTTCATCTCCTCCTCTTCCACCGCCAGCCTATCTCGCTCCGCCGCAGCCTACACAGGATAGTGATTATCTGAAGGGTTTTCATGATGGTGTAGTAAGACCCTCAGGTCCTGTTGTTGGAAACGCCGTGAGCTGGTTGGCTCCTCTTGTTGTAAATCTTGCTATCTTTGTTGGACCTCTTTGGTACATGAGACGCAAGTACATGCAAGCAATGGGACAAGCTAAAGCAAGCGATGCGGCTAAGAAGAATCCTATGATGGGAGGATTGATGGATATGATGAACCCTATGAAATCAAAAAATTACCGTACAGAAATTAAAGGAACTACCTTTGCTGATATCATTGGTATTCCTGAGGCTAAAGAAGATTTAAAACAGTATGTTGATTTTTTGAAGGAGCCCAAAAAGTTTACTCGACTTGGTGCAAGACTTCCAAAGGGTTGTTTACTCACTGGACAGCCTGGAACAGGTAAGACACTATTGGCCCGTGCTGTTGCTGGAGAAGCTAGTACACCTTTTTTCAGTTGCTCTGGTGCGGACTTTATCGAGATATTTGGTGGTAGTGGTCCTAGACGTGTTCGTGAGCTATTTGCACAGGCTAAAGAGGCGGCACCCTGTGTTGTCTTTATAGATGAGATTGACGCTATAGGTTCTCGTAACCAAGGTGGTCGTAGTATGGGTGGTGGTGGAAGCAGTGAGGAAAATCGAACGATTAATCAGTTACTGGCAGAGTTGGATGGTTTGACCAGTAATGAGGCAATCGTAGTCATCGCGGCTACAAACTATCCTGAAGCTATTGATAAAGCTCTCCTTCGTGATGGTCGATTTGATCGTAAAGTGAATATTCCAATGCCTGACAAGGATGCTCGTGAGGAACTTTTTGAATTCTACCTTAATCGCATCATCACAGGGGATCCGAACTGTAAACCAGTGGTGCAAACATTTCGCACAAGAGAGGAAGGAGAAAATGGCGGCTCTACTACAGATACCAATAATACTTCCACGAAAACCACTAATAATTCCACCAATACCAATAATAAAGAAAATGAACAACGAAAGGTTGTTATTGAGAGTAAGCCCATTGAAGTTAAGGTTATCCCAGGGGTAAGTAACAAGAAATATGCTACTGCTTTGGCAGAACGTACTCCAGGTGTTTCACCTGCGCAAATTGCAACAATTGTAAATGAAGCTGCTTTAACTTCAGCTATGACAGACAATGAAGTTGTTTCACTTAAAACACTACAAGACAGTATTGACGACGTTCTCATTGGCAAAAAACATCGCCAACGAATGAGTGATATGTCTCTGCGACGGACTGCATATCATGAGGTTGGTCACGCTATAATGGCGTGGACATCTCCTCTGCAAAAGGATGTTGTGAAAATCTCTATAATTCCTCGTGGGAGAGCTGGGGGATATACACAACAAGTGCAAGATGAGGCTTTAGAGCCACGCACGGATGTTTTTCTATTTTCCCAATTATGCGTTCTTATGGGAGGCCGAGTTGCGGAGCGCATATTTATGAATGATATTTCAACAGGTGCAATGGATGATCTTCAGCGAGCTACTCGTATCGCAATGGAGAAACTGCTCATGTATGGCATGTCCAAATCTATTGGTCAACTGGCTTTCAAACCCAATGATCGTAATGAGGGTCGTGCTTGGATGAACTATTCAGAAGAACTGCATGCAAAGGTTGAAGAGGAAGCTCGTCAGCTAGTAGCATCTGCGTATCAACACACGGAGAAGACATTAAGAGAAAAGCGCGATCTTCATGAGAAACTCGCACAACTTTTACTGGAAAAGAAAGAGCTAATGAGGGAAGATATAGAAAAAATACTTGGTCCACGACCTACTGTGGTAGCGGCCAAGTGAATGGAAACTTTTTTGAAGTAGAATGAAGTTTAATGTTGGTTTATCTCTGTCTTGATTCATCTGTGTGTGTGTGTATAATTGCGTGTAGTGTGTGTTTCCCTCACCGTTGGAAATCCCGTACCTTTTCTATATTCTTAAAATGAAGAAAAACAAACATGAAAAAAAAAAAAAAGAAACAAACATGCTAAACGTACGGAATGTGACTACACAGGATAGTAGCGTCTTATTCTGTTATTGCATTTATATTAGGTATTTTTTTTTTCTTATTGTTTCTGCTGCAGGCATCCCTATTTCGGGAAAAATTGTGGAAGAAAGTCACAAAAAAAGTAAGCAAGTATCTGTGTTTGAAAGAGAAAGAAAGATAGAGGGAGAATGAAGATGAAGGTACACAGATGAACATGAAGAAAGATATTTATATCCCATTACTTTTCGGCATTAGGGATAATACTAATATGATATCGAGTTACAGAGAGTCTGTTAGTGCTTTTTTCCCCTCTTGTTGTTACTATTGTTTTGTTTTTTGTTAACGTTTCTGTTGTTTATGTCATTTTTCTGTTCTCCATTCTTTCTTTTTTTTTTTAATTTGAAGAGGTATAAGTAAATTGGTTCTTTTGCTTTTTCGGGTATACTTTTTTTTTCTTTTTTTTTCAGTTAGTGGTTTCCGAAAAGCGTCATACCTTGTAGAAAATTTAGAAATGTCTAGAGATATTTATCCTTATTTACAGCAAATGCGAAACTCATTTGATGAGATATCTAGAATCCTTAAAAATGATGAGCTGATTGCTCGAGAAGAATTAGAGAAACTGCAAAGGGAGCGCTCACTAATGCTTGAAGAAGTCATCAAATTACAGGGGCAACAACAAGAGAGAATTGCCTCAAGCAGTAGTAAAACTGCTGACACCAACGAATATAAGAGTATTCAAGATCGAGATAGAAAATTGCAGAGTTCAAGTGAAGATCATGTTGCTGTTGAAAGAGGAGAAAACTTCAATAACCGCCATGAATCTGGACAGTTTTTGAGAGGTGGATGTGAAGGTCTCCGTAGTGATGTGAAATATATTCCCTTACAGTCTCCTTACCCCATTGAAAGTAAAAAATATAAGTTAAACGATGAGTACCATAGACTGATGGCATACGAATCATATTCCCCACCAATTCGTCCCGTCATAGTTTCCTCATTGAATGATTCACGTTTCAGTAATATTTATGTTCACGATGACGATAGACATCATCTTGTTGATAGTAAATCTCCTAATAAGGATGATATGGTGAAACGACGTGTTCCTGGAATATCTTCAACACTTTCTTTTGCTGATCTTAGAGTGGGGAAGTCAAGTTCTCATGTAGACACCAAAAGGCGTACTACACCAATTTCTTCTAAAAAAGAACAAACGTTTTGGATTAATATATGGCCATGTTTTGGAACGTTTGCCTCTTCAGTATGTAAACCTACACGTATAGTTGTGAATGGAAGTTACCGCTTCATGGAACAACTTACTGAAAAGGCAGGTGTTATGACAGGTTGTCAACCTGCTCCGAGTGTTTTGTATGAACCAGATGGTAAATCCATACGTTCACTCGCCCAACTTGTTCCTGAGCAACACTACCTGCTTTTTCCTAGTGGTGGTTTTTACCGTAGAGAGGCATTACCCCATGCTCTTTTACAAGAACTTGTGCGGGAAGCAAAGATGGCTCTCAAGAAACGTTGCGATACCCATGAGGATTAAATTTGTACTACAGATTTTTTTTCTCGCATTGTTCTCTTCTTTATGTTCGTATAACGACTGAGGAATTTTGCTTTGGTGTGTTTTCTGATTATATGTTTTTGTATTTTTGTATATTTTTTTTTTTTACGACTATTATTATTAAAAAAAAATTCTCCTGGCTGCAAATTGTATATATTTATTTAATCTTATTATTATTATTATTATTATTATTATTATTATTATTATTATTACTATGGCTCTTCTAATGCTTCCAGTAAATAATACCACTCTTCCTGGTTCTCTTCCTCCCTTTGGTCTGTGCCCATTAGAGAAGTATGGGAAGTGACGATCGCCAAGCAGCGGCCCGGCGCCCGCCTCCCATGCTGCGGGCGGAGCGCCAAACGGCATTCCGGCAGAAAGTCCACGCGGAACTGCTGCAGTTCGGCCGCGACCGCAAAGACGCGGAACGGCACCGCATGGAGGAGTACCGGCGACTCTGCGAGGCGGAGGGCATTCACTCAAAGCGGCTGGAGGAGTACGACTCGGTGCGGAAAGAGGCGGCAGGGGCACTCGGCGAAAAGCTGCAGAGCGTTGACTATGATCAGAGTCTTACAAACACAGAGAAAAAGAAGAGAAAGTTTAACTTAAAGCGGAAATACGCCGCACAAACAGTGACAGAGATTCTGCAGAAGAAGGAAAAACACTACAATGCATTAACAAAGGCTGAGGAAATCCAGAAGAAGCGGCAAGAAAAGATTGAAGAAGCAAAGGCAGCGAAAAAGGAGAGAGAGCAGATGAAGATTAATCGCATTCAACAGAGGAAGGTAAACAATGCATTATATGCTCAGAAAACTCGAAGAGGTCAACCCATTATGAGCGGACGGGTAGAATCACTACTGAACAGACTACAACAAGATCAGGGAAAGAAATAAGATGCCACACTTTGTTTGGTTTTATAGTGTACCTGTTCATTATTCTACCTGTTTTTATATATTTCAGTAAAGTCGTATAAGAACCCTTTTCTGTTCTTTTCTCTACCCTTACACCTTGTATATATGTGTACTTTGGTGGGGCATTCTGTAGGATGCTCCTTTTTTTTGCCTTTTTGTCTCTACCACCTGAAGGAGGTGTGTTCTCTATAATATTTTTTCTTTCTTTTTTTCTTTTTCATTTTTATTTTTTTTGGTTGTATGTCTGGCTTTCGGTAACATTGATAGGTTAACTATTGTTTGCTTTTCATTACATTATTACCGGTTCTTTGAGTCGCATCGGTAGATAGGCGAACTGAAAATGACAGAAATACTTCTCCAGTTCTCAATTTTAGGGTATATCATTGGTCTTATTCTTGTCTGCGGTGGAATTCTATTCCCATTGGCAATAATGGGGCTGCGCTCCCGTTCAGTTTTTCGTAGAGGGGCGCTTAGACCTCCTGCTACGTTTAAATGAAATGAGTCTGTATACAAATTTGAAGAAGTAGCATAAGATCTATTGCAGCTGAAGATACCATGACAGTTTTTCTGCTATTGGGTAGTATGTATATTCTTCTTCTACATATTGCTTTTGGATTATTGAAAGAAAGAACGGCGAACAATATCTGAGTGCAAGTTCTGAAAGAAAGAAAGAAAGAAAGAAGAGCGGAAAAAAAAACATATAATATGTACTTGATCCATGTGATTTTTATCATTATTGACTTGTCTCTTTGACAAAAGAAAAAAAATAAATAATATCTCTTCTTCTTTTTATGCTTGTTTTTTTTTTTTTATTTTCCTTAGCGGCAGTGTGCTTTACGCACCACACACAGACATATATACACAAATACACGTCTAACAAACATAGACGGGTTTGGCTTGGTAGAAATAAACTGTTGTATTTGCGTGTAAGTGTGCTACAATATGCGTGCCTTGCGTGGTGTTGTGCAGCATGTGAATCCCGTTCGATATCCACTTCCTCTGTTTCAACTTAGAGTGCAAACTACCAATAGTGGTAATAATAATAATAATAAGAATGACAGCCCTGAAGGAGTACGCAGAGGTGAGAATAAATATCCCACCACCTCATCTCACAAAGTACCCATCCTAGTACATGGCGCTTTGGAGAAGGACGGCACACGCAATAATGTGCGCAATGCACTTCACGATGAAAACAGTAGCAGTGTTAGTAGTAGTAGTAGTGGTGGTAGTACTACTACAACTGCGAAACCGACAGATGGACCGATGGAGCCAGATTATGGACCTCTTCGTGCCACTGGTCTGTGGAAGGTGGAAGAAGTGGTGGATACCCAAAAGTCAACGGTTGACTTTAGGCGCATAGACGAAGTAGAGAGTGAGATTATTGAGACTTTGTCACAACCAGAGGATGCTGTAGTGCCGTACGCTGAAGAAGAAGCCTGGAAGCATAAGTTGATGTTTCAACATAAATTTAACAAAACTCCGAAGCATCTTACTTGGCGAGAACTCGGTGAAGAGATTGAGTGTTTTGATTGTACGATTGACGTGGATAAACATCGTCCAGAAGAGATTTTTACTATCAGTTTCTATTTTACGGATAAAAAAACAGGTACAAGAGATATATTATGGTCTGCACGCAATGATGTTTCCTGCTCTGAGGGATTTACAGATCTATTAGCAGCTATAGGGGCATGTCTGGGTCGTGCTAATGTACACCGAACTATAAGATTTGATGATGCGGTAGGAACAACACGTGATATTTCTTTTCGTAAGGTATCACGATATACTTCCGATATTACAATTGCTTTTCGTCCTGCTGAGACTTATAATAAGTTTGCACGCAAGGCAGAGCAGGATGAGTATACAGAAAGTATGAGCAATGAAGGAATGAGCACATGGGGGTTTCACCCTGCAATGATGGATCCAGAGTACAATTCACTGGACTTTGAAGACCCTCCGGGAACGTACACCACCGTACTTTCTGCTCATGCTTTCAGTTTTATTTGTCTACGGGCTATTACACGGTTATTAGCACGTCCTTTGAAAGAGTTTTACCGCCCATCACAGCTTATGCGCACTGCAAAGGTTCGCACAGATGACGATATTGGTCTCGCACATGCTATGAAAGGATGGATGGGTGTCGAAGATCGTTTGTACCCACATTATACAACTATTGATGCTATTCAAGAGAATTGGCTAGGTAAAGATGCACCCTTTACATTAGTTGCTATAGTAAATAAACTGCGTGAAATGACCTATTTAAAACGACAAAACCCAGAGTTTCAGTCTTGGTTATCTACTAGACATCATGATACTCATCTCGCGTTGCGGAATATTGGACTCAAGATGCTTGGTGTTGGCGCAAGTACACTCTTTGTACCGGTAGCACATAATGCAACCGTAAACCGACTCCTTCCAAAATCGCAACAGCGACGACTGGAGAGTCGTTTCTCGTTGAACGCCGTACTCGGCATGCCGGATGAGACGCGACGTATTGATGAGTTCAAGAAGTTGACAGGACACGAACGCATCACAGAGCGAGGAGAGGACGATGATAAGAACAAGAAGTCACGAGTTGACAAGAAAGAGCAATAAGAAAGAAGAAAAAAAAAAAAAAGAAAAACAACAACAGCAACGAGCTAATCTATATTCTGCCAATAGGTGTGACACATGGTGCACCCTTTTTCTATGAGATGATGGTTTTTTTTTTTTCCTTTAGTTAATTTAATGGTATTGTTGCCTTATTTATGGTCGTTTTTCTTTCCTCTCGTTTTTTTTTGTTTTGTTTTTTTATTGCTAGGCTGAATCATTAAGAAGTACACGAATTTGCATATTTATATTTATATTTGTATAGTAAGTGGAGTGAGTTCTGGTAAATGGGTGACGAAGAAGTTGATTTCTGGACACCTACTATTGAGGCCTTTGCACCGCTGCAATTAGATGGACCGGAACTCACCCCAAAATTACTTAAAAGACCTCCATTTCGTTTTATTGCAGATATTGTCACTTCCATCAACACACGCTTTGCCGCATATGATCATATCTTTCGACCAGACCAATTAGATGCTGCTAGTATAGACACCAAGGAGAAGAAGATTGAGTATTTGACAACATTGGTAAAATATGTGGGTTCTCTTCTAGGGCAGAAGATTGATGTAAATGTGAAGAAAATTGTGTCTGGTAGTGAACCGGAAAAGACGAATGCATTTCTTCGATGTCTTGCATTAGCGGTAGGGTATGCACAGCAGGACAAGGCGAGAAGATTACAGTCCCCACCACCGCAACAACAACAACAACAAGAACAACAGGAACCACCACCGCAACAACAACAAGGAGAAAATCAGATAACCACCACAATGCCAACCACATCCGAGTCTGGGCCTGAAATGGCTGAGAGACAATCTTTACCAAGGCGGATCTCAAATGCATCTGAAAAGGCTAGTAACAAAGCGGTAGCCATGCATGACTCGACGGAATTATTTAAAAAAATTAGTAATTACGGCTACCTTAATTTGGACCAAGTTCAATCAGTGAAAGAAGTGGGTCAAAGTATTGTAGATATGTTTAGTGATCTTCAAAAAAATAAGGTTGAAACGCAACCATCATCATTACCTGTAGATGCGCTTGAGACAGCCATTAAACGGCAAATTGAAGTGATTAAACAAGTTGATTCTCTTGAAGAAGAAAACAACTCAGTGATAGAAAAACTTGAGGTTCTACTATCTTCCTGAATAAATTGTGTTCGTCTCTCACTCTCTGTCTGTAGAATAATTTCTTTTTGTTAAGTTGCAAAAAAAAAAAAAGAAAAGAAAAAAACCCACTTGGGGAGAGTCTTTTTTATTTTTGTAAGTGTGAACCATTTTTTTTTTTTTTTTGGTTTCCATGTTTACTTTTGCTCTATTGCTTTCTTTTAAGTCTTCTGATGAACAGTTGGACCAGGTTGTAGAAAGACAACGACAAAGTGATATAGTTCTTTTGGCTTCCTTAAGATAGTATTTAAAAGATACACGAAATAAATTTTTTTCTAATACTTGATTGAGGTTGCGAGGAAAAATAAAATAAAATCTATAGATAATTGAATGAATCAAGGGGATGTGAACGCAACGAGAGGACAGGAGAAGCACAAACGTGATGAGGTCTCTATGCTTCCATTTGGTGTGAAACGGCCAAGAGATTCTATGGAAGAAGACTCCATACCACTTCGAGATGCTTTAAAAGCTTTTGGAGATCGTGTAAACGTTATTCAAACTGAAATCATGGCCTCTTCTAATGACATTTCCTTAGATTGCCAAACCAAGATATGGAGTCTTGTTCTTGAACTACGGCCTTATGTGCTTGCCGCACTTTCGTCTAATAGTTTGGAGGTACCAGAAGAAATGAAGAAATTATCTCAAGTAAATCCACGGCGAGTGCTAAAGTACGTTTGGTCAGCCCTTCGACTTTACGTTATTGTTGCCAGTATATCAGTTGTTGTTCCCGGTGTCCTTTTACACTGTGTGTTGACTGTCCTTTCTCTATTACCTGTAATAGGAGCACCATCATGGTCTGCCCCAACCGATGAGAAGAAGTTTAAGAAAATCAGTCACATGTTTTTTTTGCTTTGTTACCGTTATCCGTTGTTATTTAAACAACTTCTTGACGTACTCTTACAAGATGAGACCATGGGTGTATTTATCTTTTCAGCAACACCAAACCGTCAATCTTCACAAGGACACTGTACCATTGTAATTCCCAATCCACCAGAGACTATTGCCGTGCCATGTGATGGGCAAAATTTGTTTAGAACTACCATCATTGCCGAGACATCATACGAGGCTGTTTCTGTTGCATCTGGATTCTGCAGTATTATGAGTTCGTTGTTTTTTCAAAACACCTCATTGCAGTTAACATTGCGGGAAAGAGGTATTCTGATTCGTTTAGCCTGTGGTTTACTTTCAGTAGATTTACATGAGAGTTTCGTATCACGATTAGGTACTGGCAGTCCGCTTACCCTTGAGAGAACTTCTAGTGGACAAGCACAAGATGAGGTGGATTCTGATTTATCGCTGATGCTTTATGATACTGCGGGATCGTTATTGCAATCCATGTTGGTAAATGGACTCCTCGTGAAGGTACTTCATGGCCCTATGCTTCTCTACACATTGACCCAACACTTGTTTCACTCTGTACAAATGATAAATAATAATAATAATAATAGTAATAATAATAATAATAATAATAATAATAGTCCACAGTTCGAATGGGAGCTGAAGCTTCTCCGCTGGTTAACAGACAAAAAGGATGACAATGATGCTTCAATGATTACGGTTCGAAATAAGTACAGTGAAAGGTTTGTACATTCAGAGACAAAGGAACCTCATGTTCAGGCATCGAAGTGGTTAGATATTCTCTTTTTGGAAATAAAGATGCCAGTCGATATAGTTTTTGCGCTCATCGTGCATTCTATTAGAAAGGCCAGCCGAGACTCTATTGAACTAGCTACTTTATTTCTTGAAATACTTCGAGAGGCGGTCTCACATAAGAGTGGAGTAGATAAAATCATTGAACAAACTTTCTGTGAATTCGGTGTGGATATAATGGAGGCATTTCTGAATGCACGGGTTGTTCCTCTCGAGTTGTGGTTTACGGACATGTCTCCTCGGGTTGTTTTATTGAATCAATTTCTAGAACTCATCCCTCATACTCTGATAACACCATTTATTACAGAATATCTTGCCTGCGTGGATAGTGATCCTGAGAGTTCAACCGGGAAGAAACTATTGGCTGCGGCGAATGCTTCTCTTGTATTCCGTGAGTCATTAACATCAAATGTGAATACACTTCAGAAGGCTTGTTTAGAACTATTAAATACGGGGAATGATGTTGTATTAGATGCAGTTGTGATTTTCTTTCGCTTAAATGAATCATCTCTTGTAGAGCAAGTGACATTGGACTTTCTAAAGGATTTGCTGACGAGTAGTAAAGTCTTATGCCCTACAAATACACCTTTGAGTATTTCAATTCTCTACGCAGAGATGGTGAGAAGGTTACCATTGAGCAATAATGCGTTTATTCTTATTAAAGAAGTAGTCGTTGCTTCTTGTTCTTTTAGTTCTACTAAAGATATTACATCGTTATGGCGTACCATTGGTGTACTGCGTGGGTTTAGAGAACGTATTGCGCAGCACTGTAAGCGTGATGTGAGCGTTCCATCCATATCACAACTTAAACAGGATACTTCAAAGGGGAAGAGTAATACTATCATGATGGATGCACTGGGAGAAATTAGTAGTCTTCTTGAGTCTTTATCTTCATTCCTTCCATGTATTTCAAGTACGAGTGAAGGGATTTGTATGAATGCATTATCATTGTTTTGGGAGCAAATACTGGATATTCTAACGATAGCAATTGGTTTTGCAGAACAAGTGCGTTCTACACATTCTAGTCAAATTAACAAAAGCAGCAGCAGCAGCAACAACAAGAACAAAGCAGCACAACAAACAGAAGTCTTTCTCGTGGACGAAGAAGAAAGTGAGGAAGCGGAACGTTCCTTAGATGTTGGAGTTATGGGAGATGATGTTCTTGTCATTACACCAGCGAAAAAAAAAGAGCCTCCGCAGCGTCACTGTTCAATGAATGAAGATGGAGTTACAGATGGTGCAGAGTTGGTATTGCGTGGTATTAGTACTGCAGTGGAAACCGTTGGATGGGCAGCACGACAATTATTTCTTTCGATAACTTTTAATGAAAATGATACACTTGGGGAAACACTACTTGCAGTTGTGTCTCTCTGTGTAGGTTATTCTCATGTAAAATGGGATACCATGGAAGAACTAGTCTTTTCTCATGCCTCCTGTCATCATTCAAGTGTTATCCGATGTGGTTACGCTGCCTTATGCTTACGCCTGATGTTTACACGTAGAGGTGATGATGATAGTACTCCTCTCTTCTCTGAAAAGTTATTAAAATGTGGAGAAGAAAATGATGAAAGATTGCCACTTCATCTGGAGTCCTTGCAAGCAGCCTTTAGTGGAGAATATGAGAGTGTTATACAACAAGGGGTTGGACACAATATAAATTCTACCGGTGTAGATGATATTCCACTCTATCATATCTTCTCACCACAACAGGAGTGTAGTGGTACGATATCTAGTATTTTACTTAATCTCTGTATTACTATTTGGGATAAGAACACGACGACGTTATCTTCCAAGTTTGCGGCATTGGAAGTAGCTCATGCAATCATGGGTCATATGTCTTGGTCTGTGGAGGATTTATGCTGGTCCAGTAGTGATATAATATTCACATCTTTCTTTAAAGCTATTTGCAATCGTGAAGAACGTAGTGTGAAGGTTGTTATTGGTAGAAGTCTTAACGTTTTGCTTCCACCCGTTCTGCTTGCTGAAGACTGGGAAATAAGATTGCAGCGTATTCAAGCTTTAATAGATGGAGGTCGATTTGAAGATTCTGATCTTTTAGGGGTATTAGCATATATATTGTATAATGACGCCAAGTCTCCACGTGAGGTTCAAGAGGCAAAAGCGCAAAAACTATTTCCTCTTTTTCATATACCACCAATGGATTTACTTAACTTTCTCCATGTTTCGCAAGGTCCACTTATTGCGTTTATCATGTATCTTGAGGGTGGTCGTCAGTTACATGCGATAGAGCGAACTACAAGCTACAGTAATAAGAATAATAACATTAGTGCATTTGCGGATCTTGAGATTGCTGTGGGGATGGTACTTCACATTGGTCGCTGCAAAACCCTAGAAGATATTTGGCAGACAAAGAAGTCATCACAAGGGAGATCTAATGAAATTCCACAAACCTTAACCAATCATGTCTTTTCTTTCCTTGATAAGGTGGCTAATTTTGTTGGTATTCAGAATGATATCTTACATGAAGGAAACTCTCCCTCTTTTTGTACGGTACGACGATGGTTATACAGTTTAACATTATTGATACGATTCCTTGGTAATCATGCCACTCTCATCGCACCAAAGTTGTCTGCTATTTTAGAACACTGCAGTACACAACCGAAATTGGTTGAAGCGGTGTGTGAAGTATGGCGGGATCTCGTCACGAACTGCGCCGCCGAGTACCTCAGAGAACACTCCCCTGTTATTGTTGTGGACCTGTTAAGTATGGAGCACATGACGGAGAGTAGTGGGGGTGCCACACTACCACTATTAGAAGCAGCTATACGAGTGGTGTACAATAGTTCTTCAAAGGAACCTTTCTGGAAATTGTGTTTTAAAGTAATGGGACACACTAGTTTGCTTATTCGTCGTTTGAAAAGTGGTGAACTGCATACAATTGTAGAAGCCGGATCTGTGATGGTGAGTGCAACAGGTAAAGAGAGTGATGATGTCTCCATCGTTGCGGCTGGATTCCTCTCGGTGATGCAGTCAAGCTCAACAAAGTGTAAAGAAATATTTATTCGAGCTCTTTTTCAATATCTCTCCACAACGGATAGTACGGGGAGAATGGAAATGACTCGTGCTGCTGTTTCTAATCCACAACTCGTTACAGCATTACTTAACTGTGCCTGTGAGCTTAGACAAGAGTATGTGCAGTATGCCTTGGCGTGTGTGGGTATGATTGGGGCTATTGCAGACTCTCATGCTGTGGTGATATCTACAGAGCGTAAGGCATTGGAGCAAGATCACGTCACACTTACACCAAAGGATGATTCTTTCCCATATTCGAAGAATGAGATGTTTTTACCAGAAGATGTACTCGATTGGCGTATTTTAGCTCAGAAACTACTGAGTGTACATTGTTTACGAGCCCTTGCAAATACAGCAGATCCTACTATGCATGATCGCGCTGCTTTTGCTGTTCAAGAGTTACTTCGTGTCTGTGCCAACGCTGAACGAAGTTTGAGAGGTTATGGTAGACTTGATGAGAAGGAATTACTTCTTGAAAAAGAACTAGAGGAATACACATGGTGGTTAAATATGGAACCCACTTGTAAACAAATGCTATATAGTTATGCGAATACCAAATATGGTGCTAATGTGTTTCGAAAAAAAGAACCACGTAGTCCTGTGTATACTACAGGGATGAGTTTTTCTGATTGGTTAAAAGATTGGTTCTGTGATCTTCTTGAACGTTGTAATGGTGTTTTTGGAGATATGGTAGGATCCTTACGTAATATGGCAAAGAGTGATCATGCACTTATTTATTTTCTTATGCCTCATATTATCCTTAACCTCCTCTTGGAAGGCAATATCGATAATGTGAATGCCGTCGTCACAGAGATTAACGTCTTGTTTAGTGCGGCTTGTATGGTATCCGTGCGTGAGAATGAAAAGACCTTTTCTCTTCACTCACAGAGTCTTATGATGGAAGTTGCAACACCAGCGATATCCGCAGTTGGGATTGAGGAACACTTACAACAAGTGTTTTGTATTCTAGAACATATTGAATTTTTAAGTTCCTTCTTACTTCGTGTCACGCATCGTCTTGTTTCACTTAACAGAACAAAGGCGGATGAAGCTGAAATACGACGTATTGTGGAAGTTTGTAGACAATTTTTTACTCGATTAGAATGGACGACTAAAGTAAAGGTAGCTGTAGCTATTAGAAGTAATATTCGAGCTCTGCGATGTATTGAAAGTCAACGTTATTTACCAAGTGTGTTTGATATTATTCAAAACAATGTCTCACTTCAAAGTATATTTGCCGCTTTGGGAGATAGAGATTCATCTCGAAGTCTTCACCGTACATGTGAACATCAGCCAGAAGATACGGCATTCTCGCATGAAAATAATGGTGAATGGAGTTTAGCTCTTCAATCATGCGAATTGGTTCTACAGCGGAGTCCTAACAGTTGTTCGCATCAATTTACAGCCTTGAGATGTATGCAGCAACTTGGACAATTACATCTCATGTCTCGTTACAGTCAGGCACTTCTCACACATTACTCTCCCTCCTCTAATGTGACTTGTACGCGATGTGAGTTATGCCGACCAGAAGAACTCGCTGCATTGCAGAACTACGCGAATGAAGCGGCATGGCGTCTTGCTGAATGGGATAATGTGCAATCACACAAAGATCTTCCTGTTAGTCTCGCTCTCCCTATGCTTTCTTTCACGAATCTACTTGATATGAAAGGTACCTTGCAGGATGTTTTCTCTGCTTGCTCCTCTCAACGGCAGAGAATAGCTCCTGTTGTACGTGCAGCGTGTCGTGAGAGTTATGCACAGGTTTATCCACATGTTGTCTTTCTTCACGCCCTAACAGATATTGAAACTGCTGCGAAATTTATTACAGATGTGCGAGTGGCTTCAAGAGATCAAGATGGAGAACTCGATTCGTACAAGTGTATTATCACTAAGAACTCTAAGCAGTTACAAGAGTTTGGATCTATTCTACAAGAACGTGCTCGATTTACGGATACGACACTGGAAGCACAAGAGTTATTAGTATCTCTTCAGCGTTCCATTTTTAGGGCCTTTAATATGAAAGAAGTAGTTACAAAGACATGGATGCATTATGCAAAACTATTACGAAATGAAGGATTCTTAGAAACCGCTTTAAGTGTGGCAAAACAGGCTTATTTAGATGATGGGTTTGTGGACCCATCATACTATACGACATTGGCGAAATTACTACATGAAATGAATATGCCAGAACAAGCTATAGAGTTTGCAGAAGATGTCACCAACAATACGGATGTTCCAGTAACTACTAGAGCTAAACTTCGTGTCCTTGTTACGAGGTGGAAACAAGAATTTGGTTACCAAACTTCTCAAGAGGTAATTGCAGGATATGAATCTGCCTTAAAAATGAATGCCTCAGAAATGGCTCATCATTATCTTGCACTATTTTACGATTCTCTATATCGCTCTGTACAGAATTCTGCACTCGATTCCGTTACAATAACAGGGAAATTATCCGATGAAATGGAAAATAAAAAGAAAGTAGAGAATATTGAGTCTTATGTATTACGGGCACTTGACCATTTTGGAATGGCGATGCAGTTGGGAGGAAAGACAGTTATAGTCTCACTTCCTCGTATGCTTACTTTATGGTTAAACTGCTCTGCACAACTTTCTAGTTTGGCTTCTGATTCAAGTATGAGTTCAATGCTTCCTACTTCAGTATTGCGAAAGATAAACCATATGATGGAACGTTATCTACTAGATAATAACAGCAAGTTACCTGCGGCATTTCTCATAACAGCTTTACCGCAACTATTGTCTCGTTTGGGAAATGGTAATAATAATGTGGTTGGTATCATCACAAAGACAGTGGTGGATCTTATGATAACTTTTCCTCAGCAATGCCTATGGCAGGTGCTTCCTATTGTTTTTAGTAGACTTGCTAACCGTAGTGAAGTGGCACGTCAAGAAATAGTTGCTCAGTTTGTAAAGCGTGTACCAGCACAGAAGACTCTTGTGAGTAATATGTCTGCATTATTTAAATCTCTAATTGAACTTTGTAACTGCTCTGCTACTACGTTACTTGGTGGTCGATCTTCACCATCTGCATCACTTGATGGACAGCCTTTTATTCAAAATATCCAGGAAATGTTACCTAAGGCGGGAATTATTTTACCAATAATGGTAAATTTATCACCAAATGCCATTGGAGTATCAAATAGCAAAGAAGTTTTTATTGGTACTGCAACATTTCATAGCTTTGGAAGTCGTGTTGATATTATGAGTTCACTACAAAAACCGAAACGTATTGTTGTAATAAGTAATGAAGGCAAACAAGTCTCTTTTCTTTGTAAATCACGTGATGAACCTCGTAAAGATATGCGTATGATGGAAATTGCATCATTAATGAATACTTTTTTCCTTAGTGATCCAGAAGCGCGGCGTAAACGATTTTCATTGCGTCGTTATTCAGTTGCTGCCCTTTCTGATGACTGCGCCATTATTGAGTGGGTCAATAACCTTAGCCCCTTTCGCAAAGTTGTGGAGGGATGCTACGTGATGGATGGTACGGGTGTTCGTATCTCACAAGTAAAGGCGTGGAAAGCCAAGGTAGACAGCGGTACTCTCAGTAAGTGGGATATGTTTGAGAAGTATATTCTTCCTAGAACACGACCTGTTTTGCATAACTGGTTTCACAGTAGTTTTTTTAGTCATCAAGAATGGTATCAGGCTCGTGCCATTTACACTCAGGCCACTGCACTGTGGAGTATTGCAGGTCATATTGTTGGTCTTGGTGATCGACATGGTGAAAACTTAATGTTGGATTTGCGAAGAGGGGAATTAATGCACGTAGACTTTGCTTGCATGTTTGACAAGGGTGAGTTGCTGGAAGTACCGGAAAGGGTTCGGTTTCGCCTCACACAAAACGTTGTGGATGGGATGGGTGTATTGGGGGTTGATGGTCCTTTCCGCGCTTGCTGTCAAGTGGCCCTGCGATGCCAAATGAAGAACAAAACAGCTGTGATGAGTATTGTGGAAACTTTACTGCATGATCCACTGGTTGAGTGGACGCGGCAGTCATCTAATCGGCAGAGTAACTTTGATCCAAAGCGACTCATTGATCGCGTATCACGGCGGCTCGATGGCTTTCTCGATTTATACACCAGAAACCACGAGAAGGATACGTTGGCACTCGGCTGCGAGGGTCAAGTCTCTCGCCTTATCAGTCACTCTTCCTCACTTGAAAATCTTTCGGAGATGTATGTGTGGTGGATGGCGTGGTTGTAATAACGGGTTATTGAAAACAGCATCCAGGTTCTACGCTCTATTAAAGATAAAGAATAAAACGACTAGCGTTTTTTTTTTTCTTTTTTTTTTTCTTGTTATTGTTGTCGTTCTTATTTGAGTCGGGTATATGGAAAACATGAGATTAAGAAATGAAAGGAGACGACAAAAAAAAAAGGAAAAGAATAATTAACCGAAGGTGTCAGTTAATACAAAAAAAAAGAAAAAGAAAAAGATATTGATTATTATTTATTTTTTTTTTTCGCGTATCTTCTGTGGTGATTTTTTTTTCTTATTTTGCTATACCTCTCTGAGTGTGTGCGTGTGTATTACATTCATTTCTATTTCTTTTTCTTTTTTCTCTTATCAACTATTCTTCTAGATGTGGATTCTGATATGAAGTGGCTCCTTAGGGTACTCACTCGACGTGGAAAGAAGAAAAAAACGCCCATTCCACCAAAGCCATATGTTGACACTGCATCCGTGGCACGTCACATGGTAGACCCGAGTCTCTATGATATGAATGATCTAAAACACATTGATCCCGAGAAACCACACTGGCAAGACCCGCGGTTTGAGTCGCGTGAGAGTTTGCCATTCTTTGATTTCTGGGGGTATAACAGAAACTGGAGTTGGACATTGTTTAGGATATCTGCAATTATATTTTTTGGTATTTTTTACTGGGAAATGCACACCTTAGCGTATATGCAAAAGGACACACCCAAGCTGACAGGGAGCACCACAGTTTCTCCTGTTCCTGACTATGCGAGAGATGAGAAAGCTACAGAAGAAGAACTTCGTGCCGCTGGATTTGCTTACATTGGTGTAAAAAAGTTAGATAACCTTGGTCTTTTAGATAATTCTGTGTCCAAGAAAGAAAAAAAGGATGTTTAGCATCCTTTTTTTTTTTTTTTTACTCCTTTCTCACTTTGTGTTTGTGTCCTTATTTTTCAAAACTTCTTATATTGTATTTATTTCGTCTCATTCTGATATGCATATATATTTTTGGGGCTTTTTTTTCCTTTCTGTTGTATGTATGTATGTGTCGATGTTTCTGTTTTTGTAGCCCTTTATCAATTGAGTAAACAAGTAGAAGATATGTGAGTATTATATATTTATTTCCTTTTCATTTTATTTCTTTCTGTTTTAGAATAAAGTGATATTAGAAACCTAGGATGAACGATATTTATGCTAGACGACTCGCACAGGGTACAATGTTCCATCAGTTGATGCGGTGCCATGGGACGTTATGGGCTGCAACACAGGTAACCAAAGAAAAATTAGATTATAATTTTATTCGTGAGGAGTTTATGCGAGTTAATGGTCGTCGCTCTATGCCGTTACTTATTGGAGCAGCAGCTGATGAAAACCTTCATCAACTTCACTTAACACACTTGACGGAACACTGTGCTTGGAGTGAGAGTGCAAGAGCATGCGCTGTTCAAGAACAGACTCCATTCTCAAAGCACATTGCGGCTATGGGTAGAATGTCTGAGACAATTCAACAGGCAAAAACAGCATCTACTGTTCAAAACCTTTTGCAAGAACAGTTGGCCCATATTGATGGTATTAGCACATTTGAAGAAGAACCTATTCTTGAAGAGAAAGAATAAATTCTTGCTTTTTGCAATTAAGTATTGCACCTTATCACATGAACACTCATACAATAACTGTACTGCCCTCTTTATGAGATGATTCTTGGGTTTCCTTTCCTCACCCTCACTGTTCATTCACCCTGTTCTCTTGTCATTTCTCCTTTTCTTTCTCTCTCTCTCTCTCTCTCTCTCTCCCTGTATATGGGGAAAGAGATGGAATGCGATATTATTATTATTATTATTATTATTATTATTATTTTTTTATTATTTTTTTTTTTCTTTCTTTTTCTTTTTTGTTATTCGTCGTATTCCTTGTGATGGCGACCCCAATAGAGAAGAAGCCGACATGAAGTCCATCTTCTCCCGCAAGAAACAGAAGGACAAACCCAATGCCGCGGCGACGGAGACCGCCAAGTCCCCGAAGGACCCACCGCTGGGTGACGGCGAACAGCCGCCCGCGGCCTCCAAGACGTCCTCCCCCTCCCCGCCCCTCGCCCTATCGCCCACTCAGACCCCCCACCCCGCCCCGGCCCTCGTCCCGCATGAGGGGATCTCCGGGCCCTCCTCCCTCGCCGGCAGCCACGCGGTCCTTCCGGTCGCCCACGCCGCCGTCGTGCCGCCCCGCGCCTTCCCACTGACACCGCGTGGGAGCACATCACAGTCACTGGAGGGGATGGCGACAGTTCATGCGGGTCCACACAAAATGGTAGTGCCTTCTCCCATGGCAAAGACAGCACCACTCCATCCGCAGATGGTTAAGGGTCCGTTACCGCCCGGAGCAAAGCTTATACATGGGGGTGCTCTTCCACCTGGTGTAAAGTTGATGAAAGGCCCTGTACCTCCTGGAGCAAAGCTTATAAAAGGACCACCTCCACCTGGTCTTATGAAGAAGATGGGACCACCTCCTGGAGTTTCTCCAAAGCAGATGATGCATTCCCCCCAGCAAATACCACTCAAAATAATCCCAGGAGCAAAATCACCTACTATCGCACCACCACGTTTGCCTCCAAGAAAAGTATCGCCTAAATTTTTTCATCCTAAATTCACAGAGGAAGGGCATGGTTTGCTGTCACCACCATCACCGCCTCTATTGCTACATGAGCAAGAGAAACAATCGTTGTCTCGTTCAGGTTCACGAAGGCATTCAAGCCTTGTTGCAAATATTAGTAGTGGACATCAAGAGAAACAACATAATAGTAATTCTCTTGGAGAAAATGTAGATGGTGAAGATCACCAATTACAAGTACCAGGAGTATCAATAAAAAGAAATGATGATATTGTAGTAGTGCCGTCTACTCCAAGAAATGATAGCGATAGTGATAATGAATTGAAATTTGTTATTGAACCTGACTCTGTTGATGATCTGCCTCAAGCAAAAAAAGATAATCATATAATGCGAAAATTTAGTCGTTCAGCATCTAATGCGTCCTCATTACAATTTCATGCAGAAGAATCAAGAAACACTTTTGAGACCATTGGGGCACGAGATAGTGTAACAGCAAAACCTCAAGGAAACCGTAGTTCACTACAATCTTCTCGAAGATCATCTCAATCAAGGGAATTTACCCATGGTGTGGCATCTGCTGGGACATCCCAAACTGAGAGAAGAAAATCAATTACAAAGGAAGACGATCATATTGATGTACGACACACCAAACAACATCGTACATCATCTATTCCTACCCCTTCGAAAGAAGAATACGTAAGAACACCTAAGGAACAACAAATCAAGAAGGAGGATAAAAAAGATGTCTCTGAGGCTAGATCTTCTCTCACACCACTTCGCTTGGATAAGACATTGTCTCGTAAGAATGAAGATGATTTTTCTTCTATACCGTTAGTGCTTCCAGAAGAACATTCTGAGGAAGAGGTATTAACTGCAGTCTCAGATTCCAAACTTTCATCTAGTGTTCGTAGTCGTGTCGCGGAGCAGTTTTTGTCAATTTTATGTCCACAACAATTCTATGGTAAAGTTACTAAAATACATCGAATTCGATTAGTAAAAAGCGATCCCGAACGTGTACCTGGAATTAAAGAGCATAATACTATTTATGTTGCCACAAAGGGTGTATTACCGAATCAGTTTTTCTACCCTCAGTTACGTCTAAAAATATCAGATGGTTCACCAGTTAGCGATAACGAATCCCCTGGTAGTTTAGATACACCTATAGTTCTTTATGAAGCTGCACCAGGTAATATGCTTTTTGCTGATACAGAACTTGAAGCTAAACATATTATGGAAACAAATACAACTGCAAATAGTTGTTTTGTATTGGAAAAATCTGCCATAGTGTTTAGAGAGCCGCAAAAGTATGCACTTCCAATAGCGATGTTAACTGTACGATGGATTCCTTATACTGTACCAGAATCGGAACCTCAATGTCCTGTACATCACAAAGAACTTCAATTATTTGATCGTTACACCAAAGAACTTCTTTGTGCTCTTTGTGTATCAAAGAATGGTGCAAATACTTCTGAGCTTGTTGTTATTCCTGATGTACTTAATGGAGATTCTCGTCGTCGTATAACAGAAACACTTACTCGACAACTACAACAAGGAGAAAAAACTGCTGTACAATGGGTAAGTCAACATAAGCGAATTGTTTCAATAGCGAAACATAAAAAAGATGCTGTTAATCAACAATTTGATATGCTTTTAGCTGCTATAAAATCTAAACGAGAAGAATATCTAGAACAGTGTGATGCTACCTTTGGTTTTGCACTAAGTACTGTTGCAAAGGAAATTCTTATGGCGGATGAAAAAATTCGTTTACTTAAAGCAGGAATTGATCATTTACGTACAGAAAGTACTAAGCCATTATATTCTATGCAAATCGCTACTGTAGCAAATGCGTTATATGCATCAGATGAGTTTCCAAATTCTTTTTCGATAGAGTCACTTAAAATACCTGTATTAACGAATGAGTTAACACCAAATTTAGAAACTGCCATGTCAGACATACAGCAGTTATCTCCTACGATTTCGAAAGTAAATATTAATCGACCACGTTCCCCATTTGGTATTAGAAGTAAAGATGATGAAATTCAAGAAGAAGATTTACAACAAGGAAAAAATCATCATAATAATCATCATCATCATTATCATGAACTTCACAAGCGGCATGATAAGGCGGATCAAAGACAAAAAAGAGTGGGAATTATTTCGTCAAGGAATCAATCATCATCACGAAGCATGAGGGAAAGTAATCATCGACGAAAAAGTTTACTTCGTTCGAATAGTAATTCAATACGTTCTGATGGATCACGTGCGCTATCCCTAAGACAGTCTATGCCTCTTATACCACGTAATGTGAGTACAAACTATATGCCAGAGGAGGGTGGGACTTTCTCTAGAATAAGGGATAGTGGTGAATGGATAGCTCTTCCTGGGTGTCGTGGAACTTGTCTTCTAGATGTATCCATTAATGAGATGTTGAAAGAAGAAGATGATGTACGGAGCAGTCGAACAAAACCTAAATACCTTCAGTGGACACTAAAGGTAAATGATCCAGGTGAATGGGTGGGTATTGGAGTAGGTGTGGGTAGCAGCCCTCAATCTTGGTGTGAAGGTCAAATACCTGATCTTAGCCATCTTTGGTTGGTGACATGCGGTAATACTAGACATACATTTACTCTTCGAGTTACTTTAAATCCAAGTGTAGGTCATGCAAAACTTTCTATTCATGATCAAAAAGGAAGGCAACTTGATGATGGTCGTATACCGCAGTGGAACGCAGCTCGTACCTGTTACCCACAAGTGACATTTGGTGGCCGCATTGGAGAGGTAAACCTAATTGAAGGTCCCCACGTTGTATTCAAATAAATGAATTTATTTGCTTTTTTATTTCTTGCAGCATTTCTAAAGGATGAAGTGATATGATCATGTTTGTAAAAATAGAGGGTGTCCATTATTGCTAGACAGTGAATGTTTTATATTTCGTTTCTTGTTCGTGTATTTTCTCTCCGTGTGTATCTGTTTTTTTTTTTTTTTTTTTTTTTTTTTTTTTTTTTGATCTCACACGAGGTACATGAAATGGATGGGTAGCTGATCTGACGATTACTCCCCTGCGACGTTTTCATCACTTGGGAGTACCTTGGAAATGATAAATGATGAGGGAAATATATGAGGAACCTTTTGTACATTGAAAGTGTAAATCACGAAAACATAATGATAATAGCGTCAATTTTGTTTTACCTCCTTCTGATTGTCTCTTTTTTTTTTCTTTTTTTTTCTTTTTTTCCCCCCCCTCTTCCTATATTACGTATGTGTATTATGAGCTCTTTCCGGCCTTTTACCTTTATATAAAGGGAAGTGTGACGCTCTTTCTTTGTATGCGTGTGTGGACCTGCGTTGGCGTGGATGCCGTTTGGCCTGGATGATCTTCTTTTCCGTCTGGCGGCCGCTTCCCCTCGTCTCTGGAGAAGGCGGGGTCCCGCAGGGTCCTTCGTCTCTTCCTCCTCCTTTTCTTCTTCTTCCTCTTCTTCTTCTTCTTCTTATGGCTTTGTGGAGGGTGACCGGCTGGTCTCCAGCAGCATCACCGCCAAATGTGCCGCCCCGGTGCCACTGCATCTCCCACCACGTCGATATCGTCATGTAGGGAAGAATCACAAGTCTGCAATCTCACTCCTCACATCCCCAGTAGAGGAAATCTCCGCTTCCCTTGGCAAGTACTCCTTGGCAGAGGTGAGTCAGCTTTACGAGACTATGCAGAAGGAAGGTAATTGGAAAGCAGTATTAAATGTAACAGAAGGAGCAAAACAAGGTAGACACTACGCATTTCTTACTAAAAAGAATTTGGAAATGGCCGTACGAACGCTTCTTATGTCCTGTGAAACGCAGAAAGTAGTAGATTTTTTTCTGTTATATGCAAATGAAGTACTTCTTTCTGATGACATTATAGTAGAAGTATTTGATGCTTGTAGAAACCATAAGGAAAATAGTTTGGCACTCTATGAAATGTTTAAACCATTTCATAGAGAGTGGACACCTACATTATATGCGTGTTGCATGACTATAAATGCCCAATATAACTGGAAGGAAGCTCTTTTATTGTATGATAAGTACATGGAATATGAGCATCCACCGCGTATTAAACGTCTTTTTACTGACGTTGTAGGAAGTACACAATCTTTTAGTAGCAACAATGATATCAGTAATGAATATATGTCTTCAAATAGAGAAAATCTACGATTTCTGTACCATATTATTCTTCCGCTCGTTGCGGACCGAAGACCAGATCTTCTGGATCATTATTATAGACATATGATGATGCGAGAACCAGAGTCTGCTGTTGACGTACTACTGCGGTGTCTCCACACAGAACGTGGTAGAGAATTAGCCAATGAATGGCTTCAAAAACTAAAAGAAGAAAACCTTTCTTTAACTTCAAATACTTCTAATGTTCTGGAATTAGCTATGGAACTATACAAAAAAAAGCCTAATGTGATGAATCTTAATTCACTTCTCAAATTGATATTGACTTATCACCCAACATCTTTAGATGAACGTATTGGGAAAGAAATGCGGCAATATCTCTCTGAAGTTGAAATGAACGAAAATGATGCATCTGTTTTGGCGCGTACTATTACAGATAGATCTAATCATTGGAAGCTTGCAACATATTTCGTATCATCTATGATAGAGCGCAAGCATTTTAGCGTAATTCCTTCTCTTTCATCATATGTAGCACGACAAGGACGATGGTCGCTTGCGTTAGATATGATGACAGTACACCTGTCAAACCGTGGTACCTTTGGTGCCGCAGAATTATCTCTATGTGTTGAAGCATCTGTGTTTGCTGGTCGCTGGAAAAGTGCACTATTTTGGGTAGAACGTGCCCATAGCGGTGGTATTCTGCTTCCTGCAACCACTTATGATGCTGCGTTGTCTGTATCTCGTCACTGTAAATGGGATGTTGCCCTTCGTGTTATGACATCTATGCACGAAGTAGGCGCTGTTTCAACTTCGAAAGGTATTCTTGACGTACTTGAGGCAGCTGCAGCACAGGACGAAGTAGAGAAGGCATTGCATATCATTGCCAAGATGGGGAGTGTATACTGGACGTTATAAGTTAACAACCAATATTATTGGATGGAACAAGACTCCCATTATCGAAGGATAAAGAAAGAAGAAGGGATGAATGGGAAGATAAAAATTAACCGTTTCATTCACATGACGGAAAGGGTTGCCAAAAAAAAAAAAAAGAAAAAAAAAGAAAAAGTAAGTTAATTGGTATAACTTCAAAAGAGTAAAGAGGAAATATATATATATATATATATATATATATTAATAATACGAATTGGAGAATGATCATTATCCAAAGAGAGAGAGAGGATATAGTGATGCAATGACTCAATGTAGATAATTCTCTTTTCTTTTCAATTTATTCTTATTATTTTATTTTTGTAGAATAATGAGCAGTGAGGCGAGGCGGAAAGTGAAAGAGTGGCATCGAGTAGTCGATGGTACTGGGGTCGTTAAGCTGTTTCAGGCTGTAGATCTTACTGTAAACCCAAGTGTTGTGCGGGCAACATTCCCGGGTCTCACTCCATTTCGTCGGCTTTGTACTAGAGACATTCTAACAGAGCTTGTTCAACTCCCATCTGTTTCAGTGACATCGCACGTAAGTTTTCTTATGGGAGCATTATGGACATTGACTCAACTTAGCCGACGTACCTCAAATGGTGCAGCAAAGACCGTTTCACTTCTCCGTTTATTCCTGGGTGTATTATTAATAACAGTGTATTTACGGTTTGTTAAAGTGCGTCAGCCTGTGATTGCCTCCGTTTCAAAGCTTTTGGATGTATCCAGCTCACCAAGAGGACCTTGTTGTGTTATGAATAATGTTCTTAGTATTACAAACTCTCACGCAGGAACACACGCTGACACACCACAACATTTTTGCTTTGATGCTTGCGCGGAACCTTTTGACAATGATCATTACACTGGAGATGTAGTAATTGTAGATATCAGTGATCTTCTGGAGGCGGAAGCTGTATCTACTGATAAGAGTCAACCGCGACCTATTACAAAACGTATTATGGAAACTGTTTCTACTTCTCTTGGTGAACTATCGTCACCTGTATGGCGTCTTTTGTTGGTAACGCGACGTCTTAGTACACATGGTGATGGTGCGTGGGAAACGGGTTTTGCTTATCTTGAACGAGAAACTGTGCAATATATTTCTGAAAAGTTCCCATTACTTCTCCTTTTTGGTACGGATGCACCTTCTGTGGATCATCCCAATGCGGCTCCTATTTGTGAAGCTGCACATGGTGCACTTTATGAAAAGGGAATCGCAATTTTGGAAAACCTGCAGTTTTCCCATTTATATGATGACTTAAAAAGCTCAAGAGTACTTCGTGGTTCAATTTTGACTGTATTCAATGAAACAGGGTCTTTTTCAGATAGTCGGGGGTGTCATGTCTCATTCTTTCCTGCCTTTGAATATGTAAAAGCAAACAATCAGAAATAGGTTTCTTTTAGTTGAATCAAAAAAACAGCAAAAAAAAATAAATTAAGGATGCAAAACAAGTAAAGAAAAAAAGAGTCAAAAAAAAAAGAAAAAAAAAAGAAGGTATTATGAGTTATTTGGCAATATGAGGGTTTTTTTTTTTTTTTTGCTTCACTATTTCTTTTTGTTTTATTTTATTTTTTTAGTTTTGGTGTTTTTATTATTTACTGAGTCTCTTTCTTTGGGTTGGTTTGGAGTATGTGTTTGTGCTGCTCTTTTGTATTTATCCCAACGTTTTCTCTCTCTCTCTCTCTCTTTTTTTTTTTTTCTTCCAATGGTCTCTCTTATAGTGCGTTGCTGCATGTCGTTCGCATGGGATTGTCTGGGGCCTCTTGCCTCTTATCTTCCGTACTCTACTTTAACACGTGTACAAGAATGTGTTATTCCAACCTTACTGCAATCTAATGATAATGTTGTTGTTGCCGCACCCACTGGAAGTGGAAAAACTGCCCTTCTTGAAGCTGCAATGCTGCGTCTCTTCAGTGACAGACTTATTCCTGAGAGTTCTGATGCGGCAAGAACAGTAACTGCTAATGTTGCTGCTGCTTCTTCTTCTATGAAAGGCGTGATGAAGTCTGAGGGTATGGCAGATCGTAAAGCGGTTTATGTATGTCCCATCAAAGCACTCGCTAGTGAGAAGTACACACTTTGGAGAGAAAAGTTTCCCACCCTATCTGTAGTTTTAGAGACAGGTGACCAAGAATTTTTGCAGGCACACGGTGGTGGATTACTGGAAGTTCAAAAAGCAGATATTATCATCACAACACCAGAGCGTTGGGATAGTATTACACGTCGATGGAAAGAGGGTGTCGTTTGGGGTTTAGTGGCTTCAGTGGCGCTACTACTTTTGGATGAAGTTCATACTGTGAGTGAAGAGCGAGGTGCTGTTCTTGAGGCCATTGTTAGTCGTATGAAAGCTATTAAAGCATCGGTAAATAACCGTGGTTCACATTCATACAGTACTCGTTTTGTCGCCATTAGTGGAACTCTTCCAAATATTGAAGACTTTGCAGAGTGGTTACAAGTACCTCCTAGTGGGGTATTTTCATTTACCTCTGCTGACAGACCTGTTCCACTAACCTTACGTATTATATCATATCCTAGTACTTCAAACAATCCCTTTGCATTTGATCGTTTTCTTACATTTAAATTATTTGGTCTGATTCGACAATTTAGTGAGGGTAAACCAAGTATTGTTTTTTGTGCATCACGTAGTGAAGCTATTAATTCTGCTCTTCGTATTGCATCTGATATAAAAGAGACAGCATCTCGTGAAGGAGCTAAAGATCGTCTTCAACCAAGCCCAGATGTGGATCGTTTAGCATCAACAGCTAATGATAAACAATTACGTTCACTTTTGTTGCTTGGAATTGCCTTTCATCATGCAGCAATGTCTATGAATGATAGAGTTCTTGTAGAACGTATGTTCCGTGAACACTATATCTCTGTTATTTGTACCACAACCACATTGGCACTGGGTGTCAATCTCCCGGCTCATCTTGTAATTATCAAAGGAACAACTTTCTTTAAAAGTGGTAGACGAGAAGATCTACCGTTATCTGAAGTTGCACAAATGAGTGGTAGAGCAGGTCGTCCTGGTCTTGATTCTCACGGTATCGCACTTGTTCTCACAATGGAGAATAAAGCATCACTTTATGAATCTCTACGACACGGTGACTCTTGCACAGTAGTAGAGAGTCGTTTACATCAGAAAATGGTTGAACATGTTAATGCGGAGGTAGCACTACGAACTATTCACAGTTTTTCACTTGGAGTAGAATGGATTAAAACTACATTTTTATGGATTCGACTTCGTCATTGCCCTCGACACTATGGTATTCTCTTTTCTACAAAAGAAGAAGAGTTATCGTTTGATCGTGAACAATTTGCATCAGAACTCATGCGTCGTATGCTTTTAGAACTTGAAGAACAAGGATGTATAATCATTAGACGTGATGGGGTAAATATAGATAATAATGAATCTGACGGAAAAAAAGTTTGTGATCTCATTGATAACCCAAGTTGTATTTTAGAGAGCACTCGAGTTGGTCGTTCTATGGCAAGATGTTACATTTTACTAAAAACTGTAGAATTGTTTAACACTGAAACAGTACAGATTCGATCAAAACAAAATCTTATATCAGGAGATAAAAAGTTAAAAGATGTTATTAATACCTTTAATTTCTCAAATATACTTGCTATTCTTAGCCGTTCTACAGAATTTGAAGATGTACATCTGCGTCAAGGTGATCGAAAACATCTTAATGAAATTAACAAGACTATCCGATTTCCATTAAACTCAGGCATGAGAGGAGGACGAGAAGTACGTGAGGACTGGCATAAGGTGTATGTACTCATTCAAGCCCATCTTGGACATGTTACAATAAGTGATTTTTCACTTCGAAATGATTCTGTTAGACTTTGGACGTCAGCACCACGTATTGCTCGTTTTCTTATTGACTACGCTGCTACATTGAATTCATTTTCTTTTATAAAAGAAAGTACACTTCTTCAACGATGTGTAGAGCAGCGAATGTGGTGGGATGGTCCTCTTTTAAGACAATTAGACGGTATAGGAGAGAACATTGTTAAATCACTTCTACGTGGTGATATTAAGAATTTTGACGATATTTTACGTGCAGATCCACGTAAATTAGAAGCCCTTTGCGGAAAGAATCCTCCATTTGGGAATGAGTTACGGGAAAAATGTCTCACCATTCCACAATGTGAATTACGTTTAGAGACTAGTGAAAATTCCGAAACAGTTCGAGTCGTTATTACACTGACGTCTTCAGTATTAGGGAAACGGGATACTCAAGCTGTGTATCGCATGGTGGTGATGGTGGGGGATATTACAAGTGATAATGTCCTTTTATATAGACAATTTAATTCTTCAGATGGTCAAGAGAAACCACTTATCTTTACATTTCAAGTTCCACATAACTTTCAAGGTTGTATCGTGGGTCGTGTCTTCACAGAGCATTACTTGCATGGCAATAATGATGCTACCGCTAAGCTCACTATAGGTAGTAGCAAAGGAAATGATGAAAAAGAAGAAGAAGAAGAGAAAACAAAAGAAGTACAGAAAACTTCTATTACGAATGGTGTGTTAAGTTGCAAGAAGAAAGAGAAGAATACCAAGGAATTAGTTAATTCTTCAGGGGCATTTGATGCCCTTTGTCATGATCTTAGATGGGTGGAAGGAAGTTCTCCGAATCGTGATGGTAATGCCCCAATTGTATCTTTCTCAGAGAGTAAAAAAACTCCTGATAGGAGTATAACACTACTTGGTTGTGTAGAAAATGAGATGTCTATATTGGAAGATGTAAATCGAGAGGAATCTCTATCTACGGATGCTGGTATTGTGAAAAATGGTGGTAGTCCAGAAGCTGCTGCCTCTGTGCATCGTCAAATTCCCAAGGATCCTATGACAGAAATGGATGAAGACTACAAAAATTTATTGAAACGAACAGCAGAAATATCTTCTACTTTACGGTGTAACTTGGTTTCATCTGCAAAAAATTGCAAAAGACCACGAGAGGATGATAGTAGTATATCTTCAACTTTATCTCTTCAAAGATCAACTAGCCAATATGGTGAACGACAAGAAGGGTCTTCTGTTACTTTAAATAGTGGAAGTACTGTTGTTCTTCCAAGGGCTATTTCACCTGATCCAGAAGTATTTTCATGCCCAGGAGTTGATGCTTTACGTCCATCACCGCGTTTTCTCTTTGGTGTACAGGGTGCTGTTCCTTCACGTAGGGTAATACATCAAACTCCTTATCAATTCATGGGAAGGGGTCAAGTGGGTTTGGGAAACGAAAACGATGCCGTATTTCACCATTATGGTGGTTTTACACCGATGCATTTTCAACCACCAGAAGTATCTATGTGTCCTCCCACCTTTATCACTCCCCATAATACTTACAATGGAGGAGGAGGAGGAGGAGGAGTCAGAAGAAGTTATCCACCGGCATTGCAATTAGGAGGTGGGTTCCAATATAACTCAGCGGCAAACACACGTGGGGGGTGGTATCACGGCCCAGACACCGCACCGCGAGTGCCAATGGCCCCAATGTGGCATCCGGAGTTTACAGCGACAGTTGCGGCCCCCGCAGCGCAGTGGCCAGCGGCGCGGGCAACACGTCCTTTTCCGACGTTTAATGCCCCCCGCCCCTTTTCAGGTGCGGTACAGATGCATACAGCACCTCCCGGGGCCTCTGACGCCACAAGAGTACCTACGCTGGAAAGCCTTTATGCTGTGTTGAACCGAAATGGCGGAGGCGCTGCGCCAAGCGTCACGGCAGTTCGCAGGGGATGGTGGTAAATATAATAATTATTATTATTGTTATTTATTTATTTATTTATTTATTATTACTATTTTTTTTTTTTTTTTTTTGGGGGGTGGTGTCTGTCGAGTATTTTCACTTGTTTGCTTCTAGATAATTTTTTAAATGTTTTCTTTATACTGGGTGTTTTCTTTCGTCTGGTGGGTCTTTTTGTACTTGAGAAGAAAAAAATAAAGCAAAAAAAGGGGGTTTCTGCTGTATCTCATACTCGATAAAGGGATTCGTATGGGTTTAGAGTGTGGGTTGTTATGTATATGGTTTTTTTTTTTCTATTTTTTTTTTCTTTGCTTAAAAACACTAGCCGTACTGAATAAAGGTAACCGAAAGAAAGGGGGTTCCCACCGCTCTTGAAAAAAAAAAAAAAAAACAGTGTGCATATTTTATTTTCTTAGAAGCTATATAGAGAATAAAAAAAGGGAGTACAAAGGGTGTCTTTTCAATTCTTTTTTTGCTGAATTGTGAGATACCACTCTTATTGTCTCTCTTTTTTTACTTATATTTTTTTTTTATATAATTATTTTTGATTGACACAATTCCTTCATCTCACATGTTTAGTAGCATTATTACCTCTGGTACTACCGCTCTCATTGTAAAACTATGTGCATCGAGTTCTACAAAGGTAAATGAGATAATTTTTCGTACAGATCTGCATTCATTTTTACAAGCACAACGTGAATCCCAAAGTGAGATGACACCCGTATTGAATTTTGTGGAGCGATGTTTTCCTGAACTTATTGTGGCCGCATTACATCCTATTCCTGAAACTGATAGTCTTATTTCTCCTGTAAAGAAAGGACGTTCAAGTGAAAGTACACCACCAGATCCAAAAGTAATCTGTACAAACGCAACTGAATTAGTAGCGTTCTATTTAACTTTTTCACAAGACCCACGAACCCAGCTTGTTAATACTGTAAATGCAACCATTTCTCTTTTTGAAAGTACTGACATAATGTCCTCTTTGGTGTCATTATGTTTTCAACGTTTGCTTTTAGTAGCATTTGAAGTAAATCCTGAAGTAGCAGCGGAAGCTATTGCTAATATGTTAAGTGAAAAAGTAATTGAAGGCGTTATTCGTAACATTGCTACTAGTTTTGTCGTTGCAGAGACAATTATGGCAGTTTTTGGATCAGCACTAACTGCAGAAGAAATGGTTTCTCCAGAAACTAGAACATATATATTCACAGAAAGTTGGATACTACATAATTTTCCGCAGCGGTATGCTTCCTATATAGAGACAGCGTTACGTTCTAAAGATCATCAAGCATATTTTTATTTTTTTAAAGAAATTATGAAGCGTGGATTTAGTCATAGTGCGGGACCCTTGGCTGATATATTTCTAAAGTATGAAGTTGTAACAGAGTTAGTTAGAACTGTTATTGAGTCATGTGAGGAAGCTAGAATAAACCCAAGTGCTATTCCACTTGTTAGCCAAGGTGTAGAAGTTCTATATTCTATAATATCTTTAACAAGAAAATCCATTATTCCACCTGATGAGAAGGGAATGTACGCTGTTAATATATTTTTAAATGGACCGGTTAAATCCTTTAATATGTATGCGGAACGTTTTTGTAAACTTTTATCTTGTGAAACATCAGTAGTATTACCCCGCATTGATGCAATGCGTGTAACAGTTTGTGAAGTGTTTGTGGAAATACTCCGATTTAACATGAAGTGTACAGATGAAATTATTACTCGGAATTTATTTCTAGAGAAGCTGATATTGATCGCATTGAAACATCCAAATTCTAACCGGTTATGTCTTCTATTAAAGCAATCTATTTTATCAATATTTTCAAATGATAGAAACATTGAAGAAAATATCATTTTACAACATATTATTTCTAGAGAAACACCACCCAAACGTGGTTTTTTATCAGATTGCGTAAGTATTTGCGCGAGTGAATTCTTATCGCAAACTTCACTTAGCGCAGTTTTAATTGAATCATGTAGAAAATTGATTGGTAAACCTTTATTTAGAAAATCTACAGGTCCATTATGGCATGTTATTGAATCATTTATAAACAATCCTATTACTCGAAAACGAATGGAAAATATGGATGAACCTATTACTGGAGCTGGTTTTACCGCCCTAGGTTCTGGATGTTCAGATAAGATTCAACACCGACCTACTATCGATCATGCCGGAAGAAAAAACCGCGAGAATTCTCTTTCCATTTATTCCCCTAAAGTCAACTTGGAATCCGCCGGTGTGCGGGATGCTGGCTTTAATGGAAACAATCGAGCAGAACAATACATTACAGAGGAAAAGGGTGCGGAATCAAAAGCTCTAAATAATGATGCTTCTGACGGCGCGGCATTTTGTAAAATGAATGAGATTTCCCGTGAAGGAGAAGATACCGTTACGGTGGAATTAGAGTCGGGAGATGAAAATTTGGATTGCGAGGTGTCCGCGCAGGTTCGTGCTTACCCTAAATTTGGGGAGATGAAGTTGTCTTTTGAGGTGCGTGATGGTGGAATTCAAGAGAATCAAAATGAATGCAACGTTGACGCGATTTTACATTGCAGAGATGGCTCAGTTGATTCACTTGATGGGGAAGGTTGGGCGCACGAGGCGGCCGCTGCTGTGAGTCAAGCGCTGCGGACAAATCCGGACCATTGATTTTTATATATATATTTATATTTATATATTTTTTTTCCAGAGGCCATGAGCAACAGAAGAATGGACTCTATATTTATTTATATTTATATATTTTTTGGATATTGTTGTACTTCTCGTTGTTGCAATTCATTAGGAAAAAAATTTTTTTTTCTTCGCCACTAAATGAAATAAAGAATCCACTCTCTTGGAAAGAAGAAAAAAGTATGTATATATTTTTTCTTTTCTTTTTTTTTTTTTTTCTTTTCTTTCCAGGTTGGTTTTTCCCAAGGCGGAAGGGGAGGAGCGAGATGCCTCGCGGGGGGCGTGGCGGTGAAAGCGGCGGCGATAATGATGAAGCGCGGAGAGTTTTTATGGAGGTAGAAATTGAAGGAGGTGAAAACCACAGATATTTCAAGGTGGAACCGCGTGCTCGCTTTAAGAATGTGACGCGGGCGATTGGCAAAAAAGGCGTTCTCGTGTGGAATGGTTGCCCGCTTCCCCCGCAGGAAACCCCGCTCTCTTACGGGATGCCGCGGGGTTTGGAAAACGCCATTCGCCTCGTTTTTGAGGTGCGGGATCGGCCCCCGTTTCGGCCGGAAAGGGCGAGCGATCGGGATTGGTTGGAGGCTTTGGCGATCCACCGCCGAAGGATGGAAGGGTTGCGGTTGTCGAGGGCTCGCTTCCTACGGGAGGGTTCCGGGGCATTGGGCCCGATCTAATGTTGGGATGCATTTTGTTCGTTTGTTTGTTTTTATTTTTGCTTTTTTTGTTTTCTTTGTATTTTTTTCCCTTTTCTTTTTAGTCAGCGCGCTCTATTTTTATTTTTATTTTTTTTTTTTTCCTTCGTTCTTTTTGGTTGATTTCTTTCGGGCCGCGCCCCGTAGGGGGGAAAAAAAAAGTAACGGGAACGGGCGGCACGAGGCGCACGCACGTGTTTAATTTTTTTTTTTTTTTTCTTTTCGGTTTTTTTTTGTTTTTCTGTTCGTTCCCCCTCCGCGGCGGCCCCGAAGATTGGGACGCCGGGCGGGACCTACCCCCCCCCGGAGAAGGAAGAAAAAGAGCAAGCCCCCCGAAGAAAAAAAAAACCCGCCCCAGCATTCCTGCGTCTCCGGCGTCCGTTCCCAAATGACGGTCGGGGGGAGTTTGGAAGGTCACGTTCGTCAACATGGACCTACTACGGTAAGTTTCGCTGTGTTAAATGGGGATTCGGTAACGCGTTGCGATGCCCGCGCCACATATTCTCACCGGGGACTTGTTTTGGAGGACGGTGGCTCGTGAAAAGTTTGGCTCGATTCCTCCTTTTTTAATCGGGTTGCCGATATGCATGCCCCTGAATGGCCAACTTTCGAGAATCAGTATTTATACCCTCTTTTTACGGCTATTCATGATGTCGGCTGGGAAAAAGGTGCGCTCGCGGCTCGATGGGATGAGCTTAATCGAAGTTACGCAGAAGCCGTTGAAGATTATCAACAGAGAGCGGCTGTGGCACAGCAGCGGGTGGCCGAGGAGAACCAAAACATTTCAGCACGGGCTTCGGCCGTTGCTGAATACGAAGAAATTGTTAACCGGCGATCTGTAGAACTCCAGAATCAGATCAATGCGTTTGCAGCCCACTTGGAAAAGGCGAATCAGGATTTGGAGAGCCGGGACCAACAGCTGCGGGCCAGGGAAGAAGCATTCTCGAGGCGTGAAGCGGCATGGGAAAAACGCCATCGAGAGATTACCCACGCCCACCCAAAGAAAGCGGACCGCTAGGTGGACCCATGGCGAACATGCCTTTTCCCGCCAGGGCGGCATTGCACCCCCACCTCACGTTTCCGATGTGGATGCGTATCCCAAGGGGGGCCCACGGACAACTCGATTGCCACCAACAAATGGAGGGGGGAATCAGGAGCCTTCACCTCCACCCCATGCGGGAAGACCTCTTTATGGGGACTGCGAAGAAGACTACGGTAATGATTGGGGTGGCGATGCGGCTGATATTATTGAACCGGAATTTAAGGTTTTTGATGTTTCTACGTGGATCCCCCGATTGCACAATGGGGATATATACGCTCTGGATATGGATCTGCGTCGAGCGTACGAATATTGGACACAATCGTCCACGCAAGTTAAGGAAGCTTACGAGGCTCTCTATGAATGGATGGAGACCGTGCGGGATACAGACAACCCGCCCCAATCAATGATACGTATGGGGGGCAAGGCCCTCTTTAATTTTCGTGCCGCTTTAGTGGTGGAGGCGAATCCAACTCTATCAAAAGCACGTTTGCGATCGCGAATTTGTACGGCTTTAAACGACGACGACGTTTTCGCAAAGGCTGCCAAACCTTTGGTTGAAAAAGAGAAAGGTACAAAATCGATTCGTTGCCTTCGTTGTAAGACATTTGGCCGCACAGCTGCTACATGTAATGTGCGTTTGCCCGCTTTCAATAAGCCGCGTTTCAACACTCATAACCATCCACGATACTCAAAAAACGTTCGAGGGGCGGTTGCCCTCCAGTGAAGGGGAGAGGGAGCCGCCCCGATTCACCACCGCCAGGCCGATCAAAGTCAAAGGCTCACGAGGCCACGTTTGCACCCCGTCATGCGCGTGGCTTGTCGCAACCGAAGGCCAGGCGGAACCACATTTTATCCGCCAACGACGCTCGATTGTGGTACGAAGAATCGCCGACGTCACCCATTTGGGAAAAATATATGCGGACAGCGAATGCCATTGCGAAGGAAATGTGGGCGCCATCGACGTGGCAGCAGCGCCTATCGCTAGCGGGGCAGTTTGCAACGTTTTGCCGGGCCCACGGGAAAAGGATGAACGAGGAGAGCGCCGTCGCATTTATTGCCGCGAAACAAGTAGCCCCGTCGACAAAGTTACAGTATGCACGCATGTTGAGGGCCATGATGAATATGGACAGAACGCCATTGGACATGATGATAATGGGGTTACAGAAGATTGCCGCACGCTCAGAGATAAAACAAGCCAGACCGTTATCGAAACAGGAAATGGACACGATTATTCGGTCCCGGATCGATTGGAAGGAACAAACAGTGTTCCGCTTGGCGTGGATAACGGCGAGCCGATGGTCAGAAATCGCTGCATTGACAAAGAAAAACTTTCAACGGACAGATGATGGATCTGTGATCCTGGATTGGGCGGTGGCTCCGAAGACAGCGAAAATGGACCCTCACCGGGCGCCCCGCTTTATCAAGACACAGGGCAAGGGCGCATTTGCTCTAATTCAATTATTGGCCACTCTACGTCCGGAAGAACATCTCACGAGACTGACGACCGCCGACGTGGAACGTATTCTGGCTCCATATGGGGCCACGGCTCACTCCACCAAGCGCGGTGCATTGAGGCACGCGGCAGAGTTGGTCGACGTGCGCGGTATGGATCCGCACGTGATCGCTCAACTCGCAAAACACGTGGATCCGTTCGATCTTCCACAGAACACGGCACGTTATCTGGGACACCACACGACCTTGCTCACGAAGGTGTCGTCGGTGGTGGCATTGATGTGATACAACATTTCACGGGGGGTTTCGAACCTTGGATTCCCCCTGAAGAGCACCTCCTGGAAGGAGGCCGTAGTACCATCACACGTCGGCGGCAAATAACCCGGATGGCTTCAGAAGAGGAAGAAACTCTTATCCCCCTTCAACAGGTCCAGGTGGCGGTCCTTGATATGGAATGGATCCTCTCTCGTTTAGAGGGTGCCGTTTTACAGCGTTTCAAAGATATCTGGTCTTTACTGGGACTACCTCCGCGCTCGAGGCCAAAAGAGAGTTCCAGAGTAATTCCTGTCGCGGATGCGAATTTGCTAAGAGCCGCGGGGGTGATTACGGATGCATCGTCTTTAGAGACGGGCTCTTGGGTCGTACCTTTCTCGGTCGTTGAAGAAAAACCTACGGGAAAACGCCGAAGGTGGATAGCATGGCCCCGTGAAAAAAATAAGGATGATCCTTACGAAGCAGAGGTGCCTTTAGGGCATATTTCGCGCTATTTGCCAGCAGTTTTGGATGAGGCTGCGTCGTGTTTGGATTTAAAAGCCTCCTTCTTCCAGGTGGAACTGCCCCTTGAGACCCGACGTTTCTTTCGCTGTCGTGTCGCCGATAATTCTATCGTGGAATTAACCCGTTTACCCATGGGTTATAAAGTGAGCCCTGAAATTCTGCAAACGGTCACTTCAGCTATTGCCGGCGTACCGGGGAACGTTAAACCCGCTTTGGCGGCACCGTGCGAATTACGGTTGGATGTTTGGATCGATAACATTCGCATATCCGGTAAAATAAAGGAAGTCGTTCAATGGGAACGTCAGGTGCGGCATTGGGCGGAAGAATGTCACGCCACTATCGGTGAGGTTATTTCGGGGGCTCACTCGTATACCTTTTTGGGGGTCGTCTTCGATCACAGTTCGCGATCCGTTGCTTTAAGCAAGAAATGTATCGGAAAGTTACGGGACATCAGATCATTAAGGTTATGGACGGTCGCGGAAATGGAAGTCGCGGTGTCTCGTTTTCTCTATGCTGCGGCTATACTGGGGGTTCGTTTGACGGCTTTTTTCTTTTTCTTGAAGGCCGTGAGGCGGCGATTATCGGCGTTAAACCGTGGTCTGATTTCTTTAACTGAGCCGGCCCATCTCCCACGGTCAGCTACACGGGAAGGCCAACTTTTATTAAGAATTTTGCTCCGCAACGAGAAGCGTATAATGACAAAAACTGTCGCGGTTTCCGCGACTATGATCACGGATGCTTCCCTCCATGGATGGGGTGCGATCATGTTTTTGGAGTCAGGTGAGGTCAAGATTGCAGGCGCCCCTTGGATGACACCGCCGACGTTAATAATGCAGGCGGAGGCCCGCGCTGTGCGACTGGCTCTTCTCGCTTTTGCGGAGATCTTGCCCAAGCACGTAAAGGTTTTTGTTGATAATACATCGTTACAGTATTCCGCACAAAAGGGGCATGCAAAATCATACGCTTTGACTTGGGAATTGGATCAGATTTTGAAAATTCTGGACTCCCGGGGGGTTCAGGCTTCGTTCGAGTACGTAAAATCCCGCGACAACCCGGTGGATGGCTTGTCACGTGGGGCCGTTTTCACGACGGCTGACTTGGCGAAGGGGTTTCAACTTGCGAAGGGGAGCGGAGGGTTCTGGAGAGGAAGGGACTCTAGAATCTGCCACTTCGTAAGTCCTGCCGGGTAATCTTTCGGCGATATAGAGAATTTGATTTCGTTTTATTATTATTTTCTTTAATTGTTTCATGATAAGTTTGTGTGATGGAATCATTCGAAACTCCATAGATTATTTGTTTGTCTATTTGTTTCTATTTATTTGTTTACCATTGACCAAAGTAGGAAAGCATATTCTATTTATTACCATTATTGACCAAAGTAGGAAATCATATTCCATGTTTTTATCATTATATTTTTTTTTTGTTTTTCAATCATCGTTACCCAACACCACCTTTCTTTTCCTCGCCTTGAAGGCAAATGAGGAACCTTTTGGCGCACCTGTTTGTGAGTTAACTTGGGTGTGAATTAAAGAGATTGTGACAGTAAAATTAGCGAAGTGTATTCGTTATTGTGTTTACTTTATTCAATTCTCTCTCTATGTGTTTGATTTTCTTTCCACTCTATTATTATGTTTTATGTTTTTTTTTTTGGTCCCTGAATATGCTGGGGTGAGGGGTAATTCTGTAGGATTCTTTTCCATGGCTAACGTCAACTCATTTGCTGTGCTCAGCTCATAGTGTGAAAGAGGGAAAGTGAGATCATCAGAGTGAGTGTAAAGGGAAAACAAAAAGGTGTGTAATGTGTATCTGTCTCTCTTTCTCCATAATTTCCTTATTATTTTAGGCAGATGATAGTAAGGTGAACAGGGATAAGAAATGGTATGGTGCAGCAGTGTGTGTGCTCTTTTGTGAGTTCATTTGCAGTTGAATAGACAGGATAGCCTGTAAAGGGGAGACTGGTCTGTTTTATTATCAACAATGGGACGACAGACTAGAAAAAGAAAAAAAAAAACATTTATAAACTATTTTATTCCAAAAAAGATATGGTAAAATAAACTCCATATACCATTAACAATTACGAGAATTTTTGTTTTCCAATGCTGCGAATAACACAGCCAATAATAATGTAATTTTAAAAACAATTATAATTAAAAAAGAATTAAAAAAAAAGAACGAGTAACTGGCTGCGATGTATGCGGATATGCGTGCACAGTCAAAAAGGCCGTAATAAGCAAGAATGTTTATTATTATTAGAGGTACGTATGTGTATATATGGGTATAGATGGGATTCATGGGGATGCTAGAGCCACCAGAGCAGACAAAAGAAGCAAAAGAGGGATTTGGTATGAAGTGGCAATGCTGCTGTCAGCACCCACAACAGCAAAGGCACCTGTGTGGTTCATTACTTGTCCCATCTGAGTGCTGTTTAGTCCCGTCAAAGGGGCAGGAACAGCTGCAGCCGTGTTTACATTCTCTGGAATGCTTGTTGTTGTGTTGCTGACAGTATTCACAATACCCTTCCCTGTTCTTCTCATCAACGGTTGCGGGAATGTCTGGATGAATTAGTTTTCCAGTGGTATTTATTCCATCATTCTTCCCATCTTGGGTGGTGGGCTGTGTTACGTTCTCACGCCCTTGTTCATTGCTTTCCGTTGAATTATTCTTATCCTCCTTGGGAGAAAAAGTGGGTTCAGAAACAACAGTGGGTTCAGAAGTGATAGGGCTGGATGAGGACTCAGAGACGGGCATCTTTTCCGCTTCAGATGTCTTTGAGGGGTCAATGGAATTCTCCTGTGGAGATAAAGAAGACTGTTTATGTAAATGGACATCACTGTTTTTGTTATTGTTTTTGCTGTTCGGAGCTTGTTTCTCCTCCTTAGCAGATTGTGGCACAGGTGCAGCTGAATGAGGTCGAACAATCTTCTTTACACCCACTCCAGCCGCGTTCCCATGGGACGATGGCGCTTCTGCTGCTGGAGTTTCTTCCTTCGGATTAGGTTGGAGGTGGGACTGTTGTACATGCTGCATGTTTTCTTTTTTTAATTGAGGTTGCGGTGGACTCTGTTTTACCCGTTCTGAAATTAAAGTCGCTTTTTCCATTTCGAGTTTCGCTTTCTCATCCTCCTCATCCATTTTTTTTTCTCATCGTCATCGTACTTGATGGGAGTGACATCGATCTCAGTAAAGTTATTGCAAACTTCAGTATAGTTGGGACACAAGATGCTCCCACCCGTGAACTCTGAGCTGCCCGTGACATTAATCTTTCCATCCTTGCATTCTTGCCAAGCGTTACTACCACTGTACTTAACCAATAATTTGTTGTTCTCACACTTCACATCCGCACAAATATCACCAACAGGCGGTTTGCCACTTGGCATTTTCAGTGTCAGATCCTCACCCTTCAGACATCGTGATTCCTTCCCCACAACACTGCCAGTCATGTACTTCAACTGACCCTTCTCACAATTTGTCTGAGGAATCGCTTTAATAATGGGATAACCATCCGTCCATTCACTCGCACGTTTAGTGGTAATCGCGGAAAACAAAAAATAGTCAACATGGAACTTATGCAAATCCCCCTCCTTCGAGCACATTCCCAGTGCAAAACGATCAGAAGTGCATTGCAGAGCAGGCTTGATTTCATCGCAGAACATTTTGCGGCACTTGTCGGGCATTGGTTTTTCCTTTATTATTTTCTCTTTGTCTTTACCCATCAGAAAATCACAACCAGCATCCTTACACCAACTCATCGATTCTGCCATGCTGAAATTGGCACTGTTTTTTTTTTTTATTATTTCTTCGTGCCTTTATGGATTTTACTCCAGTGGTACGGCTATCAGCCGCACACCGTAGAGCACCTAATTACAGACTTACGAGTGGTTCCGAAGAAGAAGATCCCTTCGTTTTATAGGATCCTCAAGCTCTTGTAATATAATTTTTTGGTTGTAGCCCGTTCCAATACGAGAGAACCAGTCTACAAGAAATCTGATCGAGTAAACTCCACCAGATCTCTCTACTCTCACTTTTCTTACCCAAAACCCGTCCTCAAGTCTCACTTTTATTATTAATTTTGTTATTTTTTGGTTTTTTTTTTTGTTATATACTGGCCCCAATGAACTCCAATGTATTTTGTTGCTTGTTTATTGGACGGTGACAGACGCCTAAAGCTTACTCTTCTATCAAGGTTTCCATGATCGCGCTCGTCGCTGATTTAAGAGGGGTGGGGAGGCCTTACAGGGTGGGGGAAGTAGGCTGCGTTGGGCTTCTTAAGTGTGAAGACTGTGGCATAGCGTAGTTCCGCTCCACCGCAATAAGGAATTTTGCTAACCGCTTTGAAAAACATAGTTTCATCAGGGGTACATCAAC